TGCGAAGTGCGGGCACACCGCTGGGCTGGAGGGGAGCAGCGGCCTTTGGGGGGGCGGTGCTTCCTGAGGGAACCATGCAGATCACCAGAGTGACAGAAGAGCTTTAGATCCAAACAATAAGCGCTGGAGATGAATGATACTTTGGGGAAAACCTGTGCAGAACTTGCAGTGCATTAATGACCCTTGTGGAGAGGGTGTAAAATTTTCGCCTTAATTTGCACGGGGTTTAAATGGCCTCGTCTGTTCTTTAACGCTTACAGACCCCTCCCCCCACCCAGGCACCTCAGGCTGAGGCAGGCAGTGAGTTCTTCCCATGCAGCAGCCTTTCAGCAGGAGGTGGGTGATGTTCATGGCAGCCTGTCACAGGCAGGTCTGAGCTGAGGCCTTCTGAAGTGGAAACCTTTGAAATCAGGTCTGAGAGCTAATAAAGTGGAGGTGTTTGATCTGTAATGTGATGAGTGGCTGCCGTGGGCTGTTCTCCCCTTGGAGAAGCTGCATGAAAAGCCAATTGCACCACTGACTGCTGGTTAAGTAATTCATGGGTTCCTCCTAGAAGTCCTACAAAGATGATCAGAAAGTTGTATTATGGCCTTGTGCAAAAATGATCTGCTAGGAGGAAGTCTAAAATTGAAATGTCTTGGAAATAAATCTCTGGGATGTGTTTCTAATACACCTTGAACTTACAGGTAAATCATTCTGATCCTCTGTTTATTAATAATGGTTGAGATAGAAGATGTAGCAAACTTTATAGCAAAAGTGTATCACAGAAGTTTTTCAGAATACAAAAAGCTTAAAATGTTTGTTGGTTAAGAATTTAGGGCAAAAGTATGTTTTAATCAGCTATAGTGGCTTGAGTTACAGCTAAAAGTGACATGAGTTGGTCTCTCAAGATCTCACAGGCCCTTGATGTGTGGCTTAACATGGCAGCGACTGGAGGGGATCAAGAATCCCAAGTGCAGGTTGTTTTATGGCAGTGAGCAGGCTGGTTCAGTTACGGAGTTGGAGGGGTCCATCTTAATCAACAGCTTTTGTGACAAAAGTAATGATTTTTAGGAAAGTGCTGCAGTGTTTAAGATGGAATCACAGGCACACTGGGCTCTGAGGCTCCAGAAGGTGCAGAAGAGATGAGACTTGCAGGCTGCCAGCTCTGAGCAGAAGCCCTCCTCATGCTGAGCACAGTTAGTGTGTGCCATGAAAACATCCAAGCTGTGTGTTTAAACTCCCTGCTGTGAGCATCTGTCCACGCGCAGAGCTGGTGGTGTGATGGGGAAAGGGGGCCTTGGAGCCACATTCATAAATGTCATTTGGGAGGGGACACTGAAATGACTCCTGATGCAGTTTCCTGATGTGCCTGGTCAGTTTATGTCACACAGGGAAAACAAAACTGCTGTTTAGGTTTTATTCAGTTGCTGTGCCTGAGAAAAGGTAGTAAAGGACTCACTGAGATGGCAGTGCTGTGTCACTATCAGCTCTCATGGGGTTTATCAGTTCTAAGAACAGCACAGCAAACCACTGTGGTTTTGGCACAAGTCTTGGCTACCCAGAAAACAGGGGAGTGATCTAACGCCTTCCGTGTCCTGGAGGCTCTGCTAGCTTAGAGAAGTGCTTTGATGGTAATTAATACTGGTGCACCAGAGAGAATGGGTGGGAAAGAGGAGGAGGAGGATGAAGGCTGGTTGCTTACAGAGCAGTGTATATCTGAGCTTGCCACCTACTCAGGGCATGGCAGAACTGCTGCATAATACCACAGGGAATCACTTGAGGAGCAAGATCTCATTTAGCATGGAGGGGAAGGGGTGGTGTTTCACACGATGAAGACTGTGCATCTCCCTGAGGGGGCTTATGTGTGGAACAAGGCAGACCCACAGCCAGAGGGGCTGTGGGTGCCTGTGCCAGGCTGCTGTGAATTGTGGATGACACGGCTGCTGCTTGTAGACACGAGCAGCAAACTACAGCTCCTGGGTGCCCCCAGCTTCAGCATTACAGGAGTAGCCTCAACTCTGATTGTCTTTAGAAGTTACAGGTGTTGCACATTCCCATGGTTAGGACAGAGTGAAGAGGCCAGTAACTACCATAACTAGAAAGTTCTAAATTCCATTAAAGTTTTTATTCATTGGATCTCAGAGAGAATAGTTTAATGTACAGACAGAAGTTTCATGTCTTCTCCATGTAACAGCATCTTTCTTTAAACCCAGGATAACTGAGCTGAGCAGCTCAAACCCGTGTCCATATGCTTGCTTTGTGCTGGATGCAGGAGTCCTGTGGCTACCTCAAGACTTACTGTATTTCCAGTATAGGAATTTGTGTGGAACTGCTTTGCAGGGCAGCATAATTGGATTTACTGAGCTGTATTTTGTCATCTTGCCCTGGTTTAGCCTTCCTTCTACTGTAATCCAAAGTTACCCAGATTTAAAAAAAAAAAGAAAAAAGTTCCTTTGAATGAATCTGAACCAGCAGAATGCTGAGCCTGACTTTATTCCAGGCAGGAAATCCCACCTTTGGTGTGTGCCAGCACCTAAGAAAAGGGGAAGAGGGAAGTGTTATTTGTGCAGGGTATGTGACCCTTTTTTGGGATCTAAAGGCCTTTTTAGGATTTTGCCTTGTGTTCATGCCTGGAGCAAGAAAGGGTCTTTTGTTGTAACTGTAACAAGAGTACACACAGGCTTTTTACAGTGTTACAAATAAATGTGCTGGAACCTATAGCCCAAAGTGAAGATGAATTCAGGGCCCTGAAAGCAGCGGCAGCTCCAGTTTCTTTCAGTTGATTGTACCAAGGATTGGGGTCACAAAAGAGAAGGATAATTTACAGCTTAGCAAATGGGAAAAACTCTTTCTAGCTGACTTGCTGGAACTCAACCCTGCAGCAAACCACTAAAGTCAGCATTATGTCGTGAGCAATTAAGTGAGATGACACTTCTTGCAGAAAGAGGGGTGCTGTTTTGGGCAGGTTTATAGATGCAGCAGTTCTTTGCACGTGGAAGTTACAGGCTGGCTTGTTAGTTGCTTGACATCAGTCAAGCTTGGACACCAGTCAGTCAATATTTTTTTTCTGCTTCCTCTGTAATCAAATACACTTTTCCAAGGTGATGCTGATTGCAGCAAGATAAACTGGACATCTTGCTTGTTAAGCAGATGGTTCCTTCTGCATGGATCCCTTCAGTGCTGTGCCAGCAGGGGATTGGGCAGTCAAACAGTGCTGGGGAGGGCCTAAGATGAAGGAGCTTTCTGCTGCAGATTTCAGTGTGTGCATTCAGCTGCAGATTCATAGTGAGAGGCACTGCAGGTTGCCCAGGAAAAGTAGATGGACTTGGGTATTTCTTGGTTTGCAGGGGGTGGGGGGAGTGGGGGGGGCCACAAATCACAGCTTCCCTGTTCTTCCAAGCGAGATACTCTGTAACTGTCTGGGCAAGTTAGCTTAGCTACAGCAGGACAGGAGTAAAACTGAGTAGGAGATGCCAGGCATTTTCACAATGAGGAAAGAAGGATGTGCCAACATCCTTTACCAGCCTAGGCCCAGTGCCGTGTGGCTTCTCCCATGTCCCACTCCCATATGTGCCACTCTCCCATTCCTGCGAGGCCACAGGATGCCCGCCAGCTCCTGGAGTGGGCCCAGCTCGCTTTGAACTGCCACTGACCAGCAGTTGCCAGGCTGCTGCTGAAGAGCTGTCAGCCTTCTCAGCACCTCAGAGATGATAATCCCGAGGGAGCTTTTGGAATGACCTCCTAGCGAGCCAGCTAACATCAGGCCTGAGCACAGACAGGCATTACGCTAATAGGGTAGGTAAGACTGATTTCAGTTTCAGTTAAGTGTTAATGATGTTTTCTTAAGCAACTCTCTTCAGTTCTTTGTGGATCTTACTTGCTAAATATTTGATACAGCTCTACATTTTAAGTGATGCATGGTTTTGTTTGGTTTGGTACAGCTGTCTCTGAGTGTAGCTCTTTGTGCTTAACTGACTTGTTTGCAGTACACCAGCAGACTGGGCTGGCTGCACCCTGGCCTGTCAAGGGCAGAAGTCTCACATCAAGTCCCAGTCCAGTTATCATACATTCTAAGCTGTGGGATTTCATATATCTCATTTCATTAACAGCAATCTCAATTATAGCTCATAACAGTTTATAATCCCTTCTCAAGTCTGAATTTGATTAATGACCTCTGCACTCAGATTTCAGTTCAGCATTTCAAGACCAGAAAAACACTTCCAAGAAAAGTAAGACTATATGTTCACTGACTTCTCTTCTCGAGTACAGCTGGGTTCTGTAACTTCAGGCAACTGGACATATGTGTATATTTCAGTAAATCTTACCGTGAGTTACAACCTCAAGCAAACAACACCAGCCACACAATTTTCATGGTATCCCCAACTTCTGCCCTCAGTGGCTCCAGACAAGGAAATTGCTTGGATTTGCTTGGGACCTCCATGGACAAACTGGGACCACAGGAATTTTAATGTTTAACAACACAGTGAAATGAGAGGGGTGGAGAGAACTTTGAAAGATCCTTACTTGTTTTTTGTGTGTGTAATTTATCTTTTAAGAAAAGAAATAAATATCTAATTAGCTAATTAGCATTATTTTTCTAATTAGCTAAATCCTAGGAATTGTCCAGATTTCTTTTTGGAGTGAAACTTGCCTTCATGGTTGATCACAGCATCACAGCCTTCTCTGGCTTTTCTGGTAGTGCTTCCAAGGCAGACCCCCCCAGAGGTACTTGTGTGCAGCAGCCCTTGTAAGTTGCAATCTGGTAATGCTTTATTCGCTTTCACCTCTGTGAAGGAATGCATTCTGCTTGTTCCAGCATAAATCTGCTTTATGTTTGCATCTCCAAGTCGTCTCTGCTAACCCTGCAGCCTTCGGGAGCCTGTCTCTCCTTTCTGCTGAGTGCGTTACCTGACTCAGGCACAGTGGAGTTCGGTGGTTTGGCATCCCAGGCTTGAGGAACCCCTTGAAGGCAGTTTGCTCACTGTAACCAACCCACCCAACCAATCATTAGGCCATAATTCCTGTTTACAGAGATAAGTCTTTATTGGAGCTATTGGAAGCAAATGGGACATGGTTCTGGTTTTATATACAGAGAAGTCTGTAGTGTTGGGTTACAACCAGTGGAAATGACCCGAGATTACAGTGCAGATCGTGTTGTGTACAGTCAGTAACAGTGGCTGGCGTACAAACCACAGCACAGAAGCCAAATGAAGCCAAGTGTACGGGGTACAGCAGCACAGGAGGAAGCAACTGAAGGTACAAAGAGCGTTCCCTTTACATTTGCAGGCTTTTTTGGCCAGTGAGTAGATACAGCTCAATTTAAAATTCACTGTGCAGTTATTTTTCTTCCCACTCAACTGCTACCAAATTAAGAAAATTCAAATGTTCAAATTATATTTTTAGTGCTATAAATAGCCATGGTTGTTGCCAAATTACTTTATTTGAAATTGCTTTATTTATAGTTTTGAGTAGTTCAGTTATTGTTCTCTACTGATTACAAATTGGGAGAAAACTGAAGTATTTTGAAAGTAGTCTGTAATTAGACCACAAGGATCTCTTGTACTTCATTTGGAAGTTTAATTCTGGGTAACTTCTTTGAGAGAGATTTATTGGGAAGAAAGATGGAATCATCCACCATATTACTTATTTGTGGAATTTGTTCATAGTATTTAAGGTTTAGATAGTTTATAGGTCATACTTCTTTTTATTCAATGCCATATCCAATCTTAGTTCAGAAATAAACACTCCATCCTCTGTGGATAAATAAACCCATCTCTTGGCTGCAGGTCAGACCTCTATTGGTGAAAGAGATTTAGAAAAATAGACATTTTCTTTAATGTTTTATACGCTGACTCACAAAGGAAAAGTGAAATTCATTCAAGTCTAGAAACAAATACAGTACAAGTGATTTATAGAATTTCATTCCTTTCCCTCTACAAACTTGCTGAGCATGAAACACTGCCCCAAAGCACTGCCTCTGTCTTTGCCTTGTCTTGGAGAAGTAATTATCATCAGAAAAGTCACATCAGAGTGCACTGCCAGATTTCCTGTCTGAAGGGCTCTGCCTCCTGACAAGTCTTTGCCTAAGAATTCTTTAGATGCATGGTGGTTTAGGTTACACAAAGGTGATATTGTAGCCCAAAATCAGCAGCAATTTTAATTGATTTCATTGATGGTGCTTTTTGGTTGGTGGAAATTCAACCATTAAAAAAAGCTTGTGAGTTGGCCTTGGAAAGCACCAGCCTTTCCTCAAAATCTCCACTTCTGAGACTGCTTCCCATTGATGCCCTTCTAAGCAAGGGGCTGGTACATTTGGCAGTACAGGTTTCATGCTCAACTTTGTCACTAAGAACTGGACAGGACTTTAAAAAGCATACAGCCCACTGGGACTTGCTCTGCTGTCGTACTTCAGTGCTTTGGAGAGCCCCCACCCCCAGCAGTGTTGCTCTCTGAGAAGTGCAAGTGTCCCAGCCTGGCTCTGGGGCAGCTGGAGGACGGTGACATTCCGGACTGGAAACAGTAGTTAAGCACCAGTTACTGGCCCCTGCAGAGGCTCAAGAGAACAGAATTGCTTCATAGAGAGCTGGTCAGCCTAAAAAGCTTAGTCAGTTTGATCAATAAATATTGACTTAGGGTTAGGATGAGAAATAAGACACTGCACCTTGGAACTGGAAGACAGAGTCAACTTCCTCCTTTTTCGGTCCAAAAGGAGACTGGCTCCAAAACATTTGTCCTTAAGGACCTCTGTGATGCCTGACAGATAACTCATTATGCATGTATGAATGTACCTGTCCCCTTTTGCAGGGAGGGATAAATGTATGACTGGACAAAGCTTGGAGGCCTTTTTTCTGTGATTTTTTTTCAACCATCTGCTCTGTGTCATGTTGTCCCTGAAGGCATGGTTACCCACTCCTAAATTATGCAGCATTGCCCAGAGAATGGCTCTGTAGTTGAATATGCTCTCTGCAGTACAGCCTCCCTTTTCTTCCAGTGTATGTGGATTTCCATGCAATAGATGTTATTAGAAAACTACACTTGTATTTATCTTTTTATTTTGAGCAGGGAAACAGTGATATTGAGTTTAAAAATACAGGAAAGAATCTGTACTGCAAATCAGAATTTTCATAATTAAATTCATAGGATCACTAACTTTTCAAAAGCTGTACTGCTCTGAATGCTGTGCTTTAGCCCACCGTTATTCTCCTTTGAGCAGAATGACATTCCATCTGCTTAGAAACAGTTCTTTGTGAAAATAATGACAGAAGAATAAATACTGTCTCTCTTACCCTGACTTTGTTACTTTACAGGACACCCTTACAAGACTCACATTCTGTTGGGAGTGCAGCAATACACACATTTCGATATGCATAGATCATTAAATTGTAGCAGTGCCAATAGTAAAGCAAAACTTGCCAAGATGTCCTGTTCCTCTTAATTAAGCTTGATTTATGTGTGCCTGTTGACTTAAGATGCAGTTAGTGTCCACTGCTGAGATGATGCAGTACCCTGAGTAACTTTGTATTGATTACGCTTACACAAGCTTGTGCTTTTGCAAGAACACAGAAATGAAGCTCGAAGAAAATAACTACATCAGGTTGTTTCCATGGAATGCTGTTTATCTATTCATAGCAGCTTCAAAGTATGAAGTTGAAACTTACCTTCTGCTCTACTCCCTTCGAAACAGATGAGTGCTATGATTAACTCCCCTTTAGCTTAAAAAATAGAAGTGGATAGAATGTCAAAATACACTTTGCTGGTAAGATGAACCTACTTTGTCATAAGGAGTTACATCAACACTGGCGACCTGAAATGTGCACATTGCACAGGTCATTGTGGGAGCAGTACCTGCTTTCCCTTGTTGCCATGCTCCTCTGTGTAAAGGCAGCTTGTCTAGAATACTGTGGGCATTGCAGAAACAACTAACTACTATTACTTTGGAGGAAATTACTATTATTCCTCCCTCCCAAAATTCAACTGCATGCTCTGTACACTGCCTGGAACTATCTCTCTGTTTTGGGTAGGGCTGCATCAGGAAACAAAATTTGCCCATTGTATTTCTTGCATTCCTCCTCTGGAAAACCAGCAGTCCTGGACTTACTTACTGAACAGAAAAAATAAATTCTCCTGTAGCAACATCATTAGGAGCTTTTAGCCTGCTGTATGGATAGCTTAAACCTCTTACCTAATTTCTCACTAACTATTAAAAAAGCAATCCAAGCTCCCCCTGTGTGTGTGCTGTGTGTGCTCACAGTACACAAGGCTGCTGGCTTTCCCCAGCACACATAAACCTCCTGGTTTTACCACAGACTCTCTTAATGGACTTGGAAAAGGCAGTGCTACCTTCCCTCCAACTTCCAGCTATGATGCTTTACCTCTAAAACTGGAGAAGGATATTCTACTTCCATTGTTATCTTTTCTCTCTCTTGCCTCAGTGTATTCTGCCAGAAGCAGATGCATTCAGAAATCCTGTGTTCAAGCTGATGCTGCACTACACCTCATGAACTGCTTTGCAGCATAAGGCAGCTGGAGCTTCTAGATCCTGGTTAGAGGTATAAATGAGGCTCAGGTTTAATTAAAAATTAACTGCAGCTCTTACTCATTTCAACTCTACTAACCAATGAAGGATAGCCAGTTACATTCAATTAATGCCTTTTAAAATTAAGTGTTATTTATTCTAGTAGAGATAACAGTCCAGTGGTTTTCACAAACATGCAGTTCTGGCTGGTGCAAAAACATTTTGAAGTCGTTTACTTAACACAGCAGAGAAGAGACTGCAGCTTTAGTTATCTTATTGCCCCAAATCTTTGAAACTAGAAAGCAGATAAATTCAGTCTCAGATAAATTCAGTCTCTGCAGTTAAAATTTTTAAATGCTCTTTATATTCTTATAACTGTCTCTTCTTGGTGGATTATTAATTAAACATGGAAGAGTACTCCCCCTGAGAAAGCTTCAGTCTGTATAAGAGTTTCTGTAGAGTAGGCTTGATGGGTTCTTTTAAAGTACACAAGTACTGAACCACCTGTGTACTACATATATACTGTGGTACAGTATATATGACCTTAAATTCTAGAGTTAAGGCATCAAATACAAGATAAAACAACATCCAGAATAAGAGATATGCTTTAGAACTGCACATCTCCACACACCACTTTTGGACATTCGGCTCCTCATAAACATCAAGATAAACAATGTGGTATGAACGTTTCATTCAATCTCAGGAACTGGAGAAAAAACCCACTTTACTGAATTTAAACCTTACTGTCTGATGAACTTTTACCTAACTCACAATACTCACAGTAAAGCATTGCCTTGCCTACACAGCATCAGACTGGGAGGAAGAGCCCCTTTCTCCAAGGAAACCCCAGAGAGAGGAGCAGACAGAGGAACAGGCAGATGTGTCTTGTGCTTTTGTATTATCTCATATATCAGTTACAAACCAACAAGTGAATGTGGTATCTGTGAGCAGAAAAAGCACCAGAATACCTGGACATAAATAGGTATGGATTCAGATGACACAAATAAAGCTAAGAAGACATCACACTGGGGTTAAGTAATAAAACAGTTTAGTGATGACAATTCTCTTCATGCCAACTTAACCACTACCTTAAATGGTTTATGTTCAAAAGAAAGTGCATGTGAAACTGCTGCTGTGGTCCATGGGCACAGGACCTCAGTGCTGGGTTTCTCTGGTGAAGTGCTCTGAAATGACTTTAGCAGAATTTCCACTTCCAGTGGAATGAAACCAACAAGCTGTTAGACAAACTGTCTCCTATACTAAGACAGCAGATTCAGCTACCCTGTCTCTTTGCTCTGCTTTAAACAAGTCAATAAAATACCTCATTTTTCACTGGATTATTCAGCAGGAAGCCCAAGAGGGTCTGTGTGCTGAACATTTGAGCTGAGTTACTGTTTTTTGAAACAGAACAGCCGTTCCTAACAGAGCTCCTCAGCGTGCCCAGCACAGAGCTCATTTTCATTCTTTTGATGCCAGAGAGGCGAGGTCCTAGTCAGTTTCATGACAGAACAACAATCTGAATTTCATGTTTACACATCTCATCATGTAGCCAAAGGAATCCACAGCAGCAGAGCTGTGCTGTTTCCCAGAGCCACCGGAAATAGGAGCTGTTTTTGTAAGCTTCTTTGTGACTTGGAACTCAGTGAGGCTGGGACATTGTTTTCCCTTCATTAAGTAACAGGCAACTGTCTTAGAATTTAGCTAAAAGCAAGAAGTTCTAATACTGAACTATACTGAGTGAGCATATCTTGGTATACCAAGCACAAGAGGCAGAAGGAAACTTGTAACTTTGGGTAAAGACTGAAATACTGTCTTGTCATTTATACACATTTGGAGAGATGTTCAGCAATTCCATCTCTAGACTGGCTCAGAAGTACAGATACAGAATTACAAATGAAGCAAGGGACTTTTTTTCAGAGAGTTGGTGGAAGAAAAAACAGGGAGTGCCACGCTCACTCTCCAAGGGATGGTTCCAGGACTGGATCAGAGATGGTATGTTAAAGCTGCTCACATTTATTGCTGTCTTGGAAATAAAGAAGTGACAAGAGAATGATGTCCCAGAGCTAAACAGCCAACAAACAGCAAGATTTTTCCCCTAAACTACTTGAAAAATCTTCATGCCCCTCCTCCTGCATTTTCTACATCCTAATAATCTGAGGAACTTGTTGTCAGGGAAATTGTTCTCAATAGCTCAATAAAAGCAAAATTTTAGATTTGTGCCCTTTTCTGCAATTAAGTTATTTCAGGGGCTTGAGGGCACAGTCTTTTATTAAGACACACTTTAAATCTTTTCCTACCAGAAGGCAAGTGTTCTCAAAGAAAGAATGCTTGTCTCCAGAGATGAGAGATACTGGAGCAGTTTTCAGATCTTTGTTAATGAGTAGAAATAGTCCTCTGGCACATGAATAACTTGAAATATATGTAGGAAAACTAGTTTCTCTAAAGTGCTTCACAGTCTGCTTAAAATTTTTTAAGACTCTAGATACTTAGATATAACAATTTCATAATTTGAGAGAATCAGTTATTTACTGAGATACTAGAAGATGATCAGAAAAGGCAGGGCAGGAGGACAGAATTCACGGAAGCAAAGGTATTTAACAGCAATGAATGTTGTGGCAGCAGCATTTACAGCACATTAAGTGGGGAGCCATGACAATTGCTGAATCATCTAATTAGCTCACACTGGCTACACTACAGCAAATTAGACAGATTAGGAACCACCTACCCAGGCACTAAATTGCCTTTGTGAGGGTTGGATTGTGCACTGTGTCCAACAGAAATTGCTTGGGCAACCGAGGCCTGGTGTTACACATTCCCTTCAGGAGCATAGGCTGGCCTCCCTCCATCCAACTGGCGAAACGCCCAGGAATAAGGTCACCATGTTCCAGCTCCTGAATGTGTGCTTAAGGAAGACAGCAAGCACTGGCAGAGAGAGAACACGATGGCAGGAAGCACCACAGATCATGCTTTGAGCTAGCCAAGCCCTCCAAACCAGCCTGGTTACTCTAAACCCATGTCTAGGCAGAGCATGCCTGGAGGAATCTCATGTGGCTGGCAAAAGTGGGACTGAAGCAGACCCCTAAAGCTCACAGGTGTTATTCCAAAGTCAGTGGTGATGCCATTCATTTCCAGCAGAGAGAACACATTAAACGGGCCGGTTCTTTATTGTAAATCTCTGGCTTTTAATCCTTTAAGTGCCAGACACCATCTCCCAAAATACACACGATCATCTGGTTAGCTAAAACTAGTGTTAAGGTGGGTAGTGTATAGGCACAGACTTTCCCTGGTCTGCTATTTATAGATGTACTAATTGAAAGGAACTTTTTCAGAATTCTTTTCCATGAACTAGAAATTCAAACTGTAAAATACCATTTCTGCTTGACTGAAAAGGTACTCCAGAGTTGGTAATGCTACTGGCAGCTGCACAGAGCATACAGAACCAGATTTACATGTTTGGCTCTTGGGTACATGCAGAAATACAAAGCTCAGTAGCTGTAACACAGAACTCCAACTCCACAGAAAAGGCAATTCAGGCTACTGTGAGGAGGCTTTTAAAAGGAAACCTACAAGAATTATGCAGAAGAAATGAGCTTCTAGTTCTGCCTTAGCAAAACCATGCTTGTTGCAACATTGATGAAGCAGATGTTACCCAGATTACTCATCAGATGATAGCTTGGTATTAGGCTAAAACCTCCTGATAAGAATTGGCTGCTCTTTCAAATGTGAATACATTGGGCACTTCAAAGCCAACTCTGTGACCCTTCAATACATGGGGCTATTTTCTCAAGTTCCACATCAATGAGAGGGGTTCCCAGGCACCTTAGGGTCTTACCTCTGATTGCCAGTGGCTGCAGAACCTAAGGATTTAGGAATCTTAGTGTGTTTCACATATCAGAAAATGGTTCTCTCCTACTAAAAAGGAAGGCAGCAAAGGCAAGGGGCCATATCAGACATAATACTGCAATGCTTTACTGCGTTACAAACAGCAGGGTATTAGAGAAATCTAGAGGAGAAAGATGCAGTGAAGTTGAGATAATTTTAAAAAACCAGCAGGAGAGTGGAAAGCTTAGGATTTTAAGAGTTAAAAGAGTGATGGCGGAAAAATACAGAAATTCACAGTTAAAGCAATTCTGATGGAAAGAAATACAGATGGATTAAGCTGCCAAGCACAGTCCACAAAGAAGCAGATCAAATGAGAGTCAGCAAAATGTTTGTTATCAGTCCTTGAAGTGGACAGTGCTTGTCAGCCTGACAGCAGTTAAGCTCAGGAAAGGAATATTCAGGAGGAGTTCATTATAATGCACCTTGATGAATATAATATCCTGTCTGAAGGAGCAGAGCAGCCTGCTGCTCCAGGATCAGCACTGCTGGGCCTGCCAGGCTCAAAAAAGGACTGAACTGTAGGTGAACTGCAGATCCAGCCCTGAGTTTGCACCTTGAAGATAACAGCAGATGGAAACCTGCCCCCTGAACAGGAAGGACATTCTGATTGCTCATCAGTTGTCCTGCAGATGTCACGGAAGGATTATGTGCTTCCAGGGCCAGCCCCTGGAACAGTTCCTCAGCTCATTTCCCAGGTGCAAGTTCCTGCCCACAGGAGCAAAGCTGACACTATTGAACAGCTCTTTTTCTCTTAGCAGCCTATGAATTATATCCAGAAACATCCTTAGCGATGGATAACCCATACATGCAGTTACTTAGTGAATTTGATGATTCAATATTAAAATCAAATATAGTTTATATTTGCTGTTAGTGTTTTCATGCAGACCTTTGGGCTTGATACACCACTATATATTCTGTACCAAGTGGTTTTCTGTTTGACACCCAGTGTCAGCTGTTACCAGTCAGGGGTTGTTCATGTTTTCATCTCTGAATTGAGACCCTAAAATGCTAATACATCATCATCAGCTTGCTCCCTTTTGCTTTTTTATTTTTTAACCATTTTTATATAAAAAGAGTTGTTTCCAGCAACTTCAAGTACTGCAAGTACTGCACTTCTGGAGCACTGTACTATGCAACTTTGCATAACGCAAGGTTTAAAAGACAAATAAAAAAATAGTATTTTAAAACGACACATATCATGTGCACCAATAGGTCATAATCCAAACCCATTGTAATCTAAGTAAAATATTGTTAAAACATTTACTACAGAACTGAAAACAATTAATTATGGATGGCTGTATCCTAATTTCCAGCTGTAGAAAACCACAGCTAAGCAAAGGATTCACGCAGAGATAAATCCCTGCCTGCCCTCCTGTCCTGCACTGCAAGCACAGGAGGAAAGCAAACCTGGCTGCTTCCTGAATTAATTTGGCCTAATGTAATGTGATCTCTGCAGATTTTAACTGCAATATCATCAAAGTTGTTCATGCCTCATTTGGAGTTCAGGTTTAATAGTTTAGCGAAATAATTTCTCTCATTATTAGTGTCACCCATCACACATAGCCAGAAATAAGGTGTGGCATTCAGAGCAGGCCATGGCCTGGCTTTGGTACCTACCCAAATGTGTCCACAGGGATGCAAGGAATGCAGTGCCTGACACAGCAGTATCAACACAGCTTTTTATGCTACACAGGAGAAAAATATTTGAAGGAGAACAGTCTGTTGGTAAAACCAAACAATTTCTTAAGTGTTAGTTAATATTTTCTTTTTTTAACTGAAACTGGAGTCTTTGAATTGGCCTTGAGAAATACAAAGCTGGGATTCAGACCTATGTATTACCTCTTTAAACACTGAGTTAACAAGACATAATAAAAACGTGCCATATACAAGATTGTCACAGGTATATGAGATTTTTAGAAAAAAAGCAATAAAAATATTCTTTAAGCTGAAAATAAAATCTCTTACCTTTTATATCACGATCTCAGCTTACAGTCACTACATTTCTGCTTATTTTATACAAGTGCATATGGCTATGAAGGTCCGGAGAGAATGAGAATAAAGTGGAATTAACCTGCTGAAAACTGCTTAGAAGTCTTAAGCTGCAACATATAGATGTTCCAATACCATTTAAAAAAACATTCACCTTTCAGTTATTGCTGACTGACAATCTCAAAATATCAACATACAAATATTCAAGAGAGAAAAAATTCATTAAATTTAGAGCAGCAAAGGTTTTTGAACTGGATGTTTCCCAAATACTGTGTTTTCCTATCATTTGGTGATGATTTTAAGAGACACAAAAGCAATCCACTTGATTTGCAAGTTCAGGCCTAGCATATTTGTGCCTCATATCAATGATGTGGGGAAGAGAGAGAATATATCATTCAGTTACATTTTGAAAAAAAAATATGTTCTGGGTTTTTTTCTTCTGCCATTTTGCTACATTTCATGTCTGCTGACATGCACAATGGTTCAAAGCACTGCTGCTTCAGGAGTGACCATTGCACAGCTCTGTAGCAACTTTTATAAGAAACATGCATATACAGTGTAGTATTAAAATTCTGAAGGATTTCAATAGTGAAAGTAAAGGCAGATTTCACTGCTTGAAGCAGCACTCGACCCGGGTTGTGCCTTGGTTTGGCATTTGGTTTTCCCCCCTCAACACACCAGTCCTTCCCCTTCTAGTGTAAAGAAATAACCAGGAGTATATACACATCTATTGCTATGTACCCAAAGAGAGGACTGTGGCTTGGACTAAGTATTGCTTTTCATTACATGGAGCACAGTTCAAGAAGTGAGAAAAACACTTTAAGGAAAAAAAAAAAAAGAAAAAAGGTCAGATTCCATGTCTGAAGTTGAGAAACCTCAAAACGAGCCACGTTTTTCTTGCTTTTAAGACATGTACAAAATGCCATTTGGAGCCACACAACCTGATGGTTCTAGAAGTCAGAGAAGAAATCTTGAGGGCCCAAGTGAATAATAAAAGGTGCGATGCTGAGAGGCTGGCAATAGGGACTGTCAATGAAAAAACCACCTACAGTGGGAGAAGAGCAGAGAAGCAAAAACCTCACGTTAATTTCTGAGACTGGCTGAAGCTAAAGCTCCATTTAAATTTCTCTGCTCTTTCAGCTGCAAGTGGAGTTTTCATTGTAAAATGGGCACTTTGAATTCTTTGAAGGTATTGAAACATCTAACACTTCCAAGGTTACCACTTTCTAAACAAAGAACTGACAGCTCATTCATATTTTCAGTAAAGCAGAGAAATGTAAAATATGCAGCAAGGGGGCAAGTTTACAATGTGGTTAGTAACTCCCAACAAATGACAAAAAATAAAAAATGACTTCTATAAATCATCTGAAATGACTGCCATCATGTTGGAAAAGAGCATAGCGCCCTTCTTGTCTTTGAAATAAGAACAAGTTTTTGGCTTACAAATGTTCATTGTATAGAATTGGTTCACAGAATATTTTATTTGGAATTTTTCAAAACTGGGGATTCAAAAAAAAAAAGGAAACTACAAACAGTTGCCAATCAGGGGAACTCCAAAAGAGGGGGGGGGGCAAAAAAATGTATGCGGAGGAAAGATTCCTTTAATGAATATTTGATTAACAAAAATGGGCTCTGATCAGCCATGCTTTTTCTGCTCCGTGATGGCTTCCTTTCATCCATAGGCCAGCAAAACAGATCAGATTTCTGAGCACCTCTCAATTTGGCTCCATCCCCAGCCCCTGCTCTGTGTTCCTTGGGTGACACCAGGCTCACCCTCCCGGGCCATCACCTACGTTTTATTAAAGTACCACCGACACCAAACGGAAACGAGAGCTACGGCAGAAGGAGAACCATGGAAATGTAAACACATTCCTAAGCACAAACACTTAGCTTAAGAATAACAGCTGCAGTTAATTCCAGGGAAAGCAGCTTGTTCTATAAGCCACCCCTTATTCAGCTTTTCTAATACTTCTTTCCCTCTAAGGGGGCTGTGGGGAGGAGGAACTTTCTGTTGCTTTAAGCACCGCTCCTACAACACCCTCAACACTGATACAGCTCTCCTTGCCTCAGCAGCAGCGTCTGGTAAGAGAACAGGGGATAAAGGCAAATCTTCAGAAGAGCAGGAACTAAAGCCAGCCTATGGAAAAGCAACGGGCGAGGGCTGAGGAGAGAGTGCAACCAACAATGCTGCTTATTTGTGGGGTGATACCTTAATAAAGACTACTGGAATCCCTTGTTAGAACCCACAGCAGTCCACAATCCATGGAGATTCCAGTTGTGGAGCTGGGGCCTATCCTGGAATTTCAGACAGGTGCACACACTCCTCAGCAAAAAGAGGACTCTGGGTTTGAGCACCAACTCAAAAAAGTACTGGCCTATGGCTGAAGTGTGTCACTTTTCACAGCAGCACTCAACAAGAACTGGGACAATTAAATAGCAAGTTTTCATGGGGACCTTGTTGCTGCTTTAGATTCTTATAAATGTAAGGGGGAAAAGGAGAACCTTTGGTTTAACATACAATTGACAAATAAAATGCTTTCTGTAGAAATGGTGGATGGAAAATCAAGGGTGGGCAGACAATCTTAAAAGTGAAGAAGGCCACAAGAACAAGTGGAATTTGTTTCTTTTTTTATCTTTTTTTTTTTTTTTTTTTTTTTTTTTTTTTTTTTTTTTTGTAAGAACAGAAAAGAAAGGAAAACATGTAGCTTTTGAGCTCTAAAGAACCTGATTGTAACATTATTATTGTCCTTTCTCTGGGCAATACAGGTGTAAGGTGTATCCTTGGAATTACATCCTTCTGTGGGAACTTCCTTTAATACTTGTTTAATACTTGTTTCACAGAATGCAGCCTTATACAGAGACAGACTAATTCCTTTTGTTTCATTTGTTTTTCAGCATTTTGTGTATGAGTGAAAAGTCTTCTTGGATAATTAAGACTGTGTCTAAAATCACAGTTACAGTATGCTGATCTATAAGGAAACTCAGGTACTGATGCTTAACTATAAAAAATAAGATAAAACAATATTTTAACCCATATTTTACTAAGTTTATTACACACCATAATATTTACAAAGTTAAATGTTAACTGTAAAGTTTCTATCGTGTAGTTTTGTTTGCTTTTGGTTTTTTTTTTAATTTTTATTTTTGTTTTTTAAACAACTATGCCCTGCATTTAATAACCCTACAGCAAATACAGGTCATTAACTGAGTCTGTGTGACTGCATTAGGAAACAGGCAGTACTCTTGTGTTACAACAAAACAGTTTATTTGTGATCAGTGTTTTATATTCTATACATCCTTCACAAATTTAATTTTACATAATCGGATACTTCATTTAAAACGTAAGATTTAAGCTTCTAGTTCTTCCCTATAACAGAAGGCTGGTATAAGTTATTTGAAAATGAGGTAACATTTCACAGAACAATTTTTTCAAGTTTTAGAGAACTAAATTTGCATTTTGTTAAAATCAAAAAGTAGGAAAAAGATGTTTCTTTACAAATGACTTTGCTCAAGTATGTGTTCAAAGAAAACAGGATAAAAAGGCTTTTTTTCTTCTAACATTCTGTACTGTACTGTGTTGTTCAATCAATGGGAATTAGCTTCTGCCATTTGCTAAAAGAATGAGTAGTGGGGAACGGGGTAAGTTGGGAATTTCATAACTGGTAACAGAACCATTCTCTTGGGTAAACCTACAGAGAGAAGAAAGGGAGAGGACTCCAAATAAGTTCAGCAATCCAAGAAAGTCAGATAAGAGCTTACAGTAGTGTTCTCATTAACCTTTTCCAGATCAGTCAGTCAATGTGATGTCAGGGTGCAGAGTCCCATAAACAGTAACGCTTTACCACTTTGCACTATTTCAGACAGATGGTTATAGCTTAAAGTCTGCTTTATTTTTGTCCTGGTGTTTGATAAAATTAAAGGAAGTGATATTCTCAAAAGCAGAGTGTGTATTTGGACTTAAAGCTCTATTTCATAATCTTTATGGTAATTAATCTCTACTAGCTTGTTCTACGTTGAGGTAATTTCACAGACCAGTTGCAATTACAGATATTTTAGACAGGCACTGCTGTGCATAAAATACAACTCACAGGGAAACTGTTCAGCAGTTTTGATCAGCATCCAGGTAGGTCAGCCAAAAATCAAGCACCTACAGTAAATTCTGCATCTGCTTCCTTATTCTGCACTTCCTCTCCTGTGCTGAAGTAGTAAATCTGGAAAGATTGACATCTGCCTGATTTCATTATTATTTTAGAGTTCTTGTGGCCTCACAAACTTCTGCACAATTAAACGTTTGTTTGGTTTTTTAATCTTGCCTATTTAAATTCTAGTATTTAACCTATATATCCATTTAGAAATCACAAAGCAGCAACAGCAGGTATTCCAGAGCACCAGATGATCAAAGTGAAGTTTCCCAACATGCAACAGCTTACAAAGGCAAAGAGACATGTTTTCCTTACAGCCAAAAAGCATTATCCCAGAACTTTGCATCACAATCATAAGACATTAAGAACAGAAACTTTTTATGTGAGAAATGGGGGCATCCAATTCCACAATGCTTTGAAGTCAGTGATATGTCACATATATACAGCTAAGTGCTTAAAATCCAGCTCCCAAAATAGGCATAATTACAAAAAAATCACAAAACAGAAGGAATGAATGAAAAAAGCAAGAAAAGCTGCAAGGAAACTTGGTAACAGTTGTATGCCTGCCTTCAGCAGGGAAAGGATTCCTCATGTCACAGTGTGTCACTGCTTGTAAAAACACAGACATACAGTTACCACTAATCCTAGTTATACTCTCAGGCTGTTGCTTGAAAAGAACCAAGGGGTTTTTTTAAAAAAAAAATCAATATCCCAAACTAAATTTCCTTTCCTTTTTCTCTGGGAAAACATGTTGCTGTTCCTTGTGTGCTGCACCACAAAGGACAACACTCCATGGGACAGCCCTGCTGCCAGCTGCCCTCCTGTCAGAGCACGGGGCCAGTCAGCACGTGTAAAACTACACAGGTTTGCTCCAGTTCTGGGGGCAGAATTCCACACTGAGCCCATGGGCCCGTTCTCCCTCTCAGTACAGAACTGGACCAGCTGGTCCCAGTCAGGCAAAGCTAACATTTTCCATAAAGCAGCAGCATTTTTGCCCTGTTAAAGCTCGTACTAGTAGGAAAGTCTTGTAATTGACATTTCAAAATATTTTTAACTTTTACCATGATATGATGGGAGTTAGTATTGCCCAAGTTAGACAGATTTGGGAGGAATGACATATTACAAATGCAAAAAAGCAGAAATTTCCCATCTGAAAAACCCCAGGCCTTGAAACATGCCAGTCATTTGAGCAGCATGTGACCAGTCATTGCCACAGGAGAGGCTGGTGGGACTGGTCCTGGTGGGCTCACGTTGTGTGTGCCAGAACATATCACTGACTCCAAACTGCTCTGCTCCCATTGCCACATAAACCTCATTCAAAGTAACCAAAAGGGCCGGTTAGAGGAATGCATTGTTAGTCCAGCATAAAACAAGCCAGTGGGGAGGGAGAAGCTGAGTTAAGAAAAACCCTTCCATCACAGCTCTCATGGTTATCAGCTCATTTTACAATCTCCATGAAACCAGTGCTTTGCCAGCCTAATAGAACATGTTTCATAGTGAAAAGCATTGTGGCAAATGACCGTGTCCTGGCTGCCTCACAGACTGATTGCTACCAGTACCAACTACCCAAAACCCATCCTGGTGTCCCAAGCAGTGGTGTTTTAGCCTGCAGGGGTGGGGGGTATTTTCCCATGGATTTCAAAGAGTTGACAGCATTAAGGGAGCTTTGTCCACAAGTCACATACACTTGGGGACAAACATTTCACCAGCATTACTGTAATGCCATCTGGGTCAGAGATGCTGAAATAGGCCCTTCGGTAATCTTTGAATGGAGCACAGACTGGCTGTAAAAAGTAAGGGAACTACTTTGACTGGGTTCCAGTATGAAGGGAACAGGCAATTAGAACAAGCAGTCCTTCCACAGACCAGGCAAAGCAGAGGCAAAAAGCTACTCCAACCAAAAAAGAACCACAAGGTTATGGCATAAAAGTGGTGTTGTTGTCATGGTTTAAGAGCTTAAATATATTTGAATTTCTCCTTGGACTGCTACATTTGGACTGCCACAACAGTTTCTGCACAATTTCTAACGTGTTAATGACAGGGCTGTACGTACCGTAGGCTGGTGCTGCTGTGCTGTATCCATATGGTGCTCCATAGCCTGCAGGGAAACAGAGGATGGAGGGGGGGGGGGGTCATTCTCTGCACTGCCTGTCAGTGTTTGCACACCTGCACATGGGCAGGGACCATGTGCCTGAAGTGGGAGCACACCAAAACCAAACTCACACCAACCAATACATACAAATATTGCTGAAAACACTGAAATGTTCCTATGCAGTGGCCTGAAGAACAAGCAGCCAGGGACTTTCTCAAGCTTCAGCATCAAAGAGTTAAAATTCCCCATTTTATTTCCTCAGCATTTTCTTTTCCACTGAATCCCTCAAGTCTGCACTGTCAGAGTATGGAGCTGGCATGACACACATCCCATATTTGCTTATTTTCTTCTTAAAACACAAATGCAGTCTATGCAAAGAACAGTAATTTTCCCAAATTTCCTTTAAAAAGAGAATGCTGGATGCCTGTGGCAGATGTCACATCCCCCTCAATAAAGCTCCTGTGAATTCTGCTTTCTCTGCCGCTTCCAACAGAGTTCCACAGAAGACATGTGAACACCTCCACACAAACAGATCATTTTTCCCCAGAGAGCAGAGTTTGACTCTGTAGTTGAGAGAAAATGCAACACAGGTAACACCAGCATTGGTTTCTACATGTCAGTAGTTCATGAAGGCTTTACAGATTATTTTTTTCTGGTGAGACTGCTGGTGTCACTCCAAAAAGTAAGAGATTTCTGAGAAGAATAGGGGATGGAGAGAAATAATCTGTGAAGGCCAAGGCCAATAAAAGCTTAACTACAGCAACTGGGAAATTAAACTTATTTCTGGAATAATTCCACACTGGCAAGAAGCATGCCCCTGGCAGATTAAAGTGTCTCTTAAATGACTCCTCAGGCAGGCAGACAATTCCAAAAACAATGTTAACAGCCATTAAAAATGAATTACTGGGTTTTAATATTTAAAATTACATGACCATACAGGAGCAATGAAGATGACATGCTGCCAACAGTGCCAGGCAGGAAGGTTCCCAAACAACAGGCCTGTGCTATTAGCACATGTGAGCTGCTGGAGGGTGTAATTAGAGCTCATGCTGTAATCTGAAAACCTAAGCATGAGGACTAGAAGTGTTACTTTTTGGAAGCTACGACTGGATTTCCTTTGACTAAGGCATCTTCAGCATCTTGTTCTTACAAATCTGTGGTTCTTATAACAAGTGAAAACAATGTCTGGATTCCTTTCACATGTCACCCACAAATCTCAGACGTGCTGTAGAGTCACAAAGAAAATGTACTTTGAAAAGTGATTTGAGGATGGAGAAAGTGACCATTTCATGAACATGTGCAATGGGAACCAGAAGCCCTTGGACTTCAGAAGCTGTTTCTGCTAATCAGAACAATGCATGACTTCCCATCACCCAGAGTATGAAAAGAAATTCTTTTATTTCTGGCCACCACAGAAGCTACTAATAGATGCTTCCAGGTGGAATTCATGTAGAGGGTTTTTGGGAGCTCAGGGAGCGTTGAGCCTGCTGACTTCATGTTCACAAAGGATTCTTGGAAAAGGCACTCCTAATGCTAACCAGCACATGATCCAGAAGGTTCTTAGGTAAGAAGAGAGTTTTGGGAATTGTGCCATGGCAGTGAACTATGAAGACAGATCATAAAATAATAAAGCCAGGAAAGCCATTATGCCCGTAACTGTGTGCTCTGTGCACACAGAGCTTTGAGCTGCACACTCGTAGAGGATACACTCTGCCAGCTTTCCAGCTCTTTGATTTATTTAAACTCCCATGAAGCCTTCTGCTCCATCTCAGATGGTTAAAGAAATCACCTGCACAGGTGAATAACACACATGAAAAAGAACACCCCAGCAGACAAGTACTAAACTATCAGCTACGAGTGTGGTGCCTTACCTGGTGTTATGTATCCAGTAGCAGCAGCTGCCCCAACAAATGCCCCTCGTGTTAAAGCACCTCGTCCTCTGCCTCGAACAGCCTGGACTGCTGCAGAAACAGCTGTATTGACAACCCCTTTAGTCTGCCCAGAGTGACAAAAAATAGCAGTTCAGAGAGTGAAAGTGTTGCTGGAATACAAGGCCACCTGCATTAAATCACCCCCTTTGAGAGGGCTCTGTAAACATGCCTGATGTACCAGGCTGGCTGAGCACAGGCTGGAGAGAGCTGTGTCAAAGGATGTGAGTGACAGGGACACAGCAGGTCCCTGGCCCTGTCACTGCCTGCAGAGCCCAGCACGTTCCCCATGCTCAGCCCTGGCAGTCCCTTCCCTCAAACTGCGCCTTACTTACCTCGGATTTGGGCATGATTGAACACTGCTGGCTTCTGGGCCTCTCTCTGCTGCTCCTCCTTGCTGTATTTCCCACCTCCTTACAACTTTCCTCAGCCTACAGCACTGGTACCCTCCTGAACCCACATAACTGCAGCAGGGCCAGGATTTTACCCCAAAACAACACCACCAGCAGTGTTAATCTCACTTTACTAGAATGCTGCCTTCTGTATCAAAAACCAACCCAGTGCTGGGATAATGGTCCAAAAAGCAAGTGACAGTTCTTACCTGAGGAAGAATCTTCTTTTTCTTGTTATTTGCTGCATTAGGCCCAGAAAACAGTTTTTCAAGTGCTGCTAATGCAGCACTTGCTTTTGCTACTTTCTTGTTTGGGCCTGCACCTCTGAACTTCTGCCCATCTACTTCTACCTGAAAATTAAGACATTATGTCAGTTTATGCCTAGTATTGATCCACAGGAACACAATGCTGCACCCACTCAGCTGATGTGCCACCCATAAAGAATTTCAGTAAGAAAAACATCCTTAAGTGTTTTATGTGACAAATTTCTATTGATTCTAGATTTGAAGCTGCTAAAGGATACCAAAGTGTTCCTGGGAACCAGTGTGTCACAGATACTCGGAATCTGGAAACTACCAGCACAACTCAAAGAGGACCACCATATCTGTTGGATACTGGATTTAGTGCATGCCCTGGAGTCTTTCTTGCCATGAAGTTTGGGGCTGTCAGAATCCAGGGTTAATTCTCACTGTATTTTCCCGAAGTGGAAAGGCTATTCCCTTTCCCAGCTGACACATCGTAACAGCAATGAGGTACATAACCTGAGAAATCACCACCACAGATGCACATTGGAAAAGGCAAAATGGAAAATTGGGAACTGGAGCAGCAAGTGACTCTGCTACATCATTAATAACCCCTCACCAGCTGCACCTCTGCTCCACTCACCTCCATCACAAAGCGCTTGTCGTGGCTTCCCCCTGTCTCAGAGATGAGCTCGTACTTCAGACCTCTTCTCTTTTCATTAAGCTCCATCACGGGGTTTTTGCCACTTGCTGTGAGTATGGGACCCTGAGTTCTTACCTAGAGAGACATGCAGGGTGTTACTTCACAGCCATTCTCTCTTCCAAAGGCAGCCAAAATCTGCACACACTGCTGTGGCTGCAGCACAACCTGCGATGCTGGCACAGCAAGGGCAAAACCTCTAAGGAAGGGTAGGAGGACAAACAATGTTGTCACGGAAGTCACACCCATTTATTTCTATTGGTGAGGGCTGTCCTCATGAGCTGGTCTGACGCCTGCACAAACTAAACCTGACACCAGCTGCACTTGGAATTGCAGCCCAAAGAGAATCTGAAGCTGAAGGTGGGGTCATGGTGTCAAGTTCCTTGAAATCGAAGGCTTTCACATGGAAAGGAGAGACTGGCCTTCCCAGCCCTGCACACATCTCTGCTGTTCCATCTCTTTATGTCCTGGCACTATGAAGAAATCTCATGCCCTGAGTCACATGTTTAAGTAGAAACATCTGTAACTGTCTGGAAAACAAGATAAAGCTGAGACCTCAGCACACCAGATCAGTCTGCAATAGAATTCTCTCAACTATGGATAAAAATAGGGAAGTTCCATTAAATATACTCCACTTCCATTTCCCCGGAAATTTCTCAGTGGACTAAACATGTATGTTGTTTGAGTTATCCATGATTACACACTGTCTGGAAATTGTCTCCCACTGAAATTGAAGAAATTTATGTTTTACCATTCTGACAAGTAGAACAGAAAAAAAAACCAAAACAATGAAAAATGAAACCCCACAGCTCGTCTTTTGTACTTTCAACGCAATCCTCACCTCTAGGGTAGCGGAGGTGTCAGCTGTGGAATTTCCAGTATTATTATTGCTTGAGATTGAAGATATTGTTTCATTTTTACCTTCAGTATCTGATTTTTCATCAGAACTTACACACTCCACATCTGCATCAAAACCTGTTGGATACCCCATCGCTTGTAAAACCTACAACGAAGTGCCATGAAATGAACTGTGACAGAGGCAGCAGAACAGGAACAAATACAAAGCAACACAACAATCAATCCACCATACATGTAAAAAAGGCAGATTGCTTAGAATATTAGTTTTCTCTTGTTTGAAATGGAGATATCAATTTCAGTGGTTATCAGTAGGGAATACAATATCAATAGGGAAAATAATTTCAGGTTTACAAAAGTGGAATCGACAAAGCAGAATTTTAGTCTCAAAGATACTCATGAGCATCATTCATCATCTCAAGAATTCCTTGTAAAGTAAGAAATTAAAGACTGTTTAATGGCCTTATAAGGGCACAGTTTCATGCATGATTTCCCCCCCTCTCTGTGTCTTTGGACAGATCAAGAGATGGACTGTGGGGCAAATATGACAAACAGTCTTGTGAGAATTAAAGCCTTGTACAAGATGGTACTTCTGGAGCTCAGTTCCTTCAAAAACATCCTCCACGAGCAAGGCCAGTCTCTCCCTTAGCCAGCTTCCTGATCCAGCTGCACATAGCTACCACACATAGGGCAAAGGAAACTGAAAGGAACCTGAAGCTCTGCTGAAAATTTAGAGCCAAGAACAAAGTCTGCAAAAATGACTGTTCAAACCCTGAGCTGAGAACTGCCTGGGTAACCCCCAGCTCAGCTCCCATGCAGTTAGGGTACATCTGGCTGCATTTTCTGGGCTTCTGCATTTTAAAAAGGTCAGATTAGAAAGTGAAATCTCACATTATTCCCTCTTGTAAGACTGGGAGGGCAGGGTCTGTGTCTGCTGAGAAGGGAAAGAGAGAAAGGAAAAAAACCAAGTCTCAACCACACCACCCATTTCCTCTTGGCTTCAATTGCAGATGTTTTGATGTGTAAATTTAGAGAAAACAGAGCTGGGCCAGCACCAGCACAGATCTGGCTGACGCAGAGAGGTTCAAGGGCAGAGCAGTCACAGTTTTTCAGGGCAAGTGGTTTTTTTGGGCTTTTTTTTTGTTGTTTTTTAAACTGCAGGGAGGAAGGCAAAATAAAAGAATGAGGCAGAAGGTCTGGAAGGACACACATGCAGAGAGCTACTTTTCCTGGAGGAATAACACATGCCCTCTGATGCTTCTGGACACTTTGAACTTGAAAGCACATAGGACAATGGGATTTTCAAAACTGAAATCAAAGGAAAGCAGAAAGTTGCCAGATGAAGATTCTAAAAAGGAAATTCTTGTTCAAAACAAAATGAGGCAGAGAATGACAGATGGGCCTGTTCCTATCAGAAGAGCAGTAATATTAACAGATGTTCTTTCACAGACTCGTTTAGGTTGGGAAAGACCTTTAGGATCATTGAGTCCAACCGTCCATTACCCCAGCACTGCCACGCCCACTACTAGGCCATGTCCCCAAGCACCACATCTGGTGGATGCTCACACTGGGCATCCCAGTCTGTCCTGCTGTCATGTAGAGCACCTACAGGAAGCAACAGCAGCCTGACCAGTGTCTGAATAATACCAGTGTCCTACTGGAAACTGACTGGATAAACCACTGACATGGTTTATTTGGTACATAGAGGTACTCTTCAGGCACCAAAGACAGAACTCTATTTCCAGGAGCTCACAAGCCAGGAATGGACACAGAGAAGGAGGGGAAGAAAGAAGCAGCCACCAACATGCCATTTCCAAACCAATAGGAGGAAGGAGTAGAACAGAATATAACTAAACCCTGCCCCCCCCATCCAGAATTTGACCACCACTGCAACTTGAGCTGACCTGTAGAGCCCTGGGAAATTCTTCCCCCCCAACTAGCGCAAAACCAGTGATGCTCTTTGAACCATGCCCAGCTGTCCTTAGAGCATACAGCGAGCAGCTCAGCTTAATGATTTTTTGGGTTTTTTTTAATTTTGAGCTTGCATGTTACTAGTTCTAAGCACATTTCATACTCCATCCCAAGATCTGGGGTTAGCAGATTACTTCAGGCTGCCTTACCTTCACTGCCACATGGAGCTTGGCTGTTTTCTTAGAAGGTCCTGATGCTTCATAAGTCGTACCATCAACATCTACAGACATTGTGAAGACTGGGGCATGGACTGGACCAGACTGTGACAGCAGCTTATACTGAAGCCCTGGCCTGATTTGGTTCAGCCTCATCAGAGCATTCATGAGATCTATTGCTTTACTATCTAGTACTAGTACAAGATAGTAGAAGGGGTGGGGGAAGGAGGGGAAAGGAAAATGAACAAAACAAGATGAACAGAAAAATGAAACAGTTTGCATTTCAGCGCCTTCTGTCTGTATCAAGGAGCAAAACCACCCCTCAGCCTCTCAAGAGGGTGAGGAGAGCCATAAATGCTGTAAAGTCTTTAATAAGCCATTCTAATTCAGGGTAACAACTATAATAACCTGGCTTTATATTAACACCATTCTGTTGCAGCTAGCTGTAAAAGGAGTAACAAGTTTTATAGCTAATGGGGAACCAGATCCAGAACTCGTATCCAAGTAGCACAATGAAAATAGCCCCCAGAATGACTGGATCCCAGCAATGCCAAGAGACTTCTAGTCTGTGCATATGTGCAACATTAATGTTTTGCAGATTACACATTTTATTTTCCTTGTAGGAGATCCTGACATCTAACTCAGGAAGGGGAAGAGTGAAGAGAGTGCAGTCTTCACTCAGCAAAGTCACTGCAATACTTTTAAAAGACCCCACAATACAGGGATGTTACCAATAAAATACCTCAGCTGCTTGGGCAACTTCAGGTCTGGTGTAACTAGATGGGTAATTCCATTTAAAAATGCAAATCATTCAGTTAGTAAAGCATGTCAGGGGAAATTCAGATGCACAGAGATGTGTTTGACATTCCAAATGCAGGCTGATGGACAATAATTTTTTTCAAAGACTTTTTCACATGCTCTACCACACCAACACAGAGAAGCTTTTAAAATAGCTCCCCCTGTACAATAGATCTTTGAAAACAGAATGGAGAAGCGCTGCACTTACTTTTCCTCAGATTACGCTTCATCTTTTTATTTGGATCTTTATCATCCCCGACACTGTCTTCAAATGGTCTCTTCAGAGCAGATGAGCCTGTACCTAGGGTATAAAGTTCCTTGTAATACGGATATGCCATTAGGAAAACACGATCCCACAGCAGGAGTCTGATTAGTCCCACACTGTTCCTTGCTTGTTTATAAAGAAAAGAACTCATCCATCAGTCACAGCTTTCGTACTGTTACGGGAAAGCCAATACTGCTTTACTGCTCACTCTACCAAGCCAGGCAGGATCTCTGTGTCCAATACCAGGTGTGGGATAAGGACTGCAAACCTGCGGTGCTGTTTTCCACATTTACTCTAAGTAAGACCTCCAACAGTATTATTTTTGCAAGAAAATACACATGGATTTTTTTTTATTAGCTATATATTGTTTTCTAGAAAGAATTTTGGAGTAATTCTTATTGTGGACACTCATTATGTGCTTTTTGACAAGTCTACGGTCTCTCCTCACCAGGACAAGAATCAAACAGTACCTCAGCTCTTCGGATGCCAAGGGAGTTTGTGCTTAAAGATAACCATCAGCTATATTATGGCTGTTCTGCCTTTTGTTTCTTTCTAAATAACAGAACTTCAAGATTTCATTCTCACAATGAAGTATTTTTTTTAAAAATCAACCCACATATAAAAAAGAATAGCTTCTACTTCACATTCACAGCACATAATTGAGAACTTTACCCATTCTAAATTAACTCCTACTTTACTGCCCAGTTAGTGACTTTTGGAACAAATAATACCTACCTTCTTTGTCAGTTACTGACCAGGAATATTTCTGAAATGACTTATTTGATGGGAGGGGATCCATTTCCAAAACTTTATAGATCTGCCCAAAGGCTGATAATCTGAGCGCGTGCTGAAAGGGACAGTAGGAACACAAATTAATCAGCAGGATTTCACCTCAGTTGCCCAAGTTTCTTAGTAAGTCTTTAGACACACTTCTGTAGTTTTGACAGACAAGACAGCTTTTACAGCTGGCCTCTGCAATAGCTGTGGAAAATGCTAATGTCTAAAAAAACCATAAACTCATGAATTTCTGTAACACAGAGTGCAGGGCACACTGACAGGGAGCCCACCCAGGGGCTCTGTGCTGGGAGCAGAGGTGGGTGCACAGACATCCCACTGCCTCTGCAAGAATAAGATCCCACACACATTTAACTCTTGCACTCCTGAACTATGGCTTAACCTTTCCAGGATAGCACAGCACAAGAACTGTCAGGGCTGCCATGAAAACAAGCTATCCTGGCAGAGAATAAATGGTGCTAATGAGCTGAATTCCTCACTGTTGCAGCACACACAGAGTTCCCTACCTGAGCACTGTGTGTAATGGCTTCTTTTTGCTGAACTGTCATGTAAGACAAAGCGTCCGTGGGCTCGCGCTCACAGGGGTCGTGCAGCCCCGGGCCCCCTGGCAGGGAGAGGAACAGGGATTACTGAGGGGAACGAGCAGCAGTGTGCAAACAGGGACTGACAGAGCAGCTGAGCCTGGCTGCTGCACAGTGGGCAGCACCCCTCCTCCAGCACAAACTGACCCGAGGTTTTATACCCTTGCAGTGGCCACAGACCTTATCAGGGTAAACACTGCATGTGGGTGATAACATTAACTGAAATCAGTAGGTCTGGAAGAAAACACCTAATTTGGACAGATCTGTAGATTTCAAGGAATCTGTAGAAACCAGATAATCATTAAGTCTATTTACCTGCAACCCCTTAATGAGGTATGGGTTAATTCGTAACAAATCTAACATTCCCTGTTAACTTCTCCTGCAGTGGCAGTATCATTCACACAGTAACCACTGTGCAAAATCCTTTCTTTTCATTTTAAAGAAAAAACCATTAATTTCAGTCCACAGCAGGTTCAGAGATCACGGCAGGCATTTCTTATATAATCCTACAGCTAAATGTTAAGGTGGGCTGCCCATCCCTTTGTGTTCCTGGAGTTCATTTGGCCCCTTACCGGGAAGCAGAATTCCAGATGCCAAACACTCCATCACTCGTCGCAATGCTTCCCCAGCGCCCAAAGGTCTATTACAAGTACCTATAGATTTTTCACATATAAGCTCGAGTGGCTAGAAGACATTAAATTACGATTAGTATGGACACAAGGGTAACTGTGACTGCAGTTAAAAATGGGGGGCAGAGGGGATGAACATTCACATCAGGTCACTTTGTAATCCACTACAGGTCTAAAGCACAGAAACCTGCCCCAGAGGAGGCCATGTCCTTGTGCAGGGCACTTGTCTTTGCCCCCTGCTCTTTGAGGACACCAGCTGCTCTCCACTGTCTGCCCAAAAAGTCAAAAAGAAGAGGTCTCTAAAGTCAAGCCACATGAACGTTCTCCTCTCAGAGGGTTTTCAGTTCCACACAAGAAAAACACCACCTCTGCTGCCCTACAGAACGTTCCTCTCCAGGCATACAGAGCAAACCTGCCCCAGGAAAGGGCAACAGCCACTTTCCAACAGTCAGGAGTGGCATTGTCACAGGAACAGGATAGTTTTGGAAGACTAAACAAGAGGGATGGAAGGCAACAAGTGGGAGTCTATTGCCTATCCTCCAGGATGTGCGAGGCCTGCAGCAGCATGTCCTGTTCCATGGGATCAGTGTACCCCTTTCCATGAGATCAGTGTGTCACAGACTCGAGGACTACTCGCCTTCTCTCCCCTACACAGGGAACAGTTAATGGAGAGCAAACGAACAGGGGTGGAAGGAGGAGTCTCATACAAGACTCTGCTTTCTCCAGTCCTTACACTGCTACAACTCTCAGGACATCTGAGACATGACCTTGTGGCCTTCAGCTCATTCTGTACTTACCCAGCCTTTCAGCGGTGCCCATGTGGGGACTCTGTTGCACAAATCCCGTAGAATACGAAGGACAATTACACATGATTTTAGTCCATTTGCCCTGGCCTAAAACAAACAAAATGATTCCAATACACCTGCAAAAGCCTGGTCTTCAATTTTGCTTTTCTTTTTAAATGCACAGAGTCCTGGGATAGATTTTGTTTTAAATTATTTTTACTTAATACTTAATCAGCTTCATGCAAAATAAAAACACTTATATAGAAGTACACTTGAATTTAGAGAGAAGTATAAAAAGGCAGCGAAATGTCAAGATTGCTTTTGTAGCCTCATGACAACTCTGGACCAGCTGACTGTCTCCCTGTCACGTTTGCCCTTGCACAGTACAGCACTGGGTTGGAATTCTAGACCTTTGCTCTAGGAGGGACTAGTCAGAAATTAAAGAGGCATTAAAATTAAAACTGTCTCAAATTAAACCTCGCAAGGCTACAATAACAACAAGGTAAGAACAAAGAGCCAACCTGAAACCATTTGGCGTGCCGCAGAGACGCCAAGGCCTCCAGGCATTTCTGCCTGTCCAATAAGTCCGGAGGATCTTTCATCGCAACATTATCTACTGGTAAAAATGGGATAAAAAGAGACAGATACAATTTGACCAAGGGGTTTCTGTCACAATACAAAAAGAGCGGCAGCATCTCAATGAGATAATAAGACTCCCAGAATTTAAGTGCACGGTGTTATTTAATTTAAACAAGCCATTAAAGGTAGTAAATGTGCACGTGTGCAACAGAAGCAAAGGCATTCACTCCTTGTAAAATAATAGTAATAATAAAGATGGCCACTGCTACAGACAATCTGGGATCTTATTAAAAATGTAGAACACATTTCAAGGCAGAAAATAGCTCTATAGCACTTTCCCTTTTTTTTTTTTTTTCTGTTGGGATGTACTGGGCTTTTTTTCCTCTTTGTGAGTTTTATTCCACAAAGGTGGCACAGAATTTCAAAGCTGCTTTGGACAAGAGGAAGATATTCTCAGGGGGTAATAAAAAAAATGTAATAGGTAGAAAGTGAAATTACATCCATGCAATTGTTGAGAATTCCAAAGAAAAGCATTGAATATATTTGAATTATTGCATGAACAGTACTAGCCAGTATAATTCAATGAAAGAAATATACAGGAAATGCTAGTACAATACTTTAGTTGATTAGTCTTTCATATGACCAGAGCATATGAAAGAGTGGGTTTGGTAACTTCCAGGTCATTAATGTATTTGAGAGGAAGTGCCCTCGTGTAAAAGCTTCCCAACAGCAACTGAAACCAACAGAGGAAATTCAAAAATGGATTTGAGAGACAAGAGACTGATATTTTCTGTCCAGGTTTACACTTTTTTTTTTTTTTTGCCTTTCCCCCCCTTTCTCCTTATCAACAAACTTGTAACAAACTGCTTTTAGCAGCCACATCCAATTCTACATTATAGGGAATTCTTATTCAGTACCAGTCCTTTCTTCTGTATTTATTTTAATCCAGAGGAGTTTGTGACATCCAGATTCTCTGGAAACTCTATATAAATGACAGTCTATATTTCTGTGAAATCACATTACAAAGATACTAGTTTTAGCTGATGTTGAGAAAACAATGGAATAACAAAATTAATCCATGGCTTAACTAAAACCTTGACTATGACTTTTTTCTATGAATACATAGTTACTCTTGACTTAAAAATAAACAATATGGAAATACACTCTTTTCATTATTCATAATGGTTAATTCTCCAGGTCTTCAGAGACCTTTGCAGAGCTGAATGAAATTCTAAATCCATTTCAAACTGAAGACTCTGCTAGATGAGCAAAATCTAGCAAGACATCTAAAATACCAGGACAAGTTAGGAGGAAAAAGTACCATCAGTTTGTTAGTGCCATCTCAAAGGACATTTTCATGGGTTCCTTTGAATGGGACTGGCTGCATAAGCAATTGCATCTTTAATGTTAGGGCTCCCTCTCCTAAACCAATTCCTGGGAAAGTTTCTCTGGTAAAAGCACTTTATGTTATAATGAATAAAAGAGCCCAAAGCAAAAAAAACCCACCAGTGTAAAACTGAACAGGACCAGTATCTTGTCTGACAGGTGATGGTTGCAGTTCACAGCTGCTGACTCAAGTGCTATAAGCTTATTTTCTAACCCCTGTGAACTTCACAGCAGATATTTGCATTGTTTGTTATTGCCCTCATCAATATCCTCCCAGCATTCCAGGATTGGGATTAATCACTCCTTTTGTCTGTTTTCCAAATGAAAGCTGCAAAGTCTCAAAGCTCTGGCTTTCTTTGAGCACAAAAGGAACACAAGATTTGCTTCTAAATTTCCTTTGCAGTTTTGTTGTTTTCAGGAGTGACATTTGTGACACTCAACATTTGGGATTACTCAACATCCATCTGGGTAGTTCTCTGAGAAAACTTGACTGCAGACAATATAAACATCTGCTTAAAGCTCAAGTATTGTATCAAACAAGTACTGTCAATGAATGATCAGAATCTTATTTTAAAACGTTAGAAATGGCAAAGGTGACTGACTGCAAAATCATTAATTTTTTGCAATGCACTGGGGCTCGGTGTTGTATGAGGCTTTGCTAAAGAGTGTTGCAGCCATCAGTAAAGTAAATTAATTTTTCCTTTAAACTACAGGCCAAACAGAATACATGTCACCTGTCATTCAGGTGAACCAAAAACCTCCTAAGATTTGTTTCAACTATTTAGAACTGTACTTTTTCTTACAGCATTAAGACCATTTTCCATGGTCTAATTTACAAATATCTTGGAGAATTTTCCCAATTGCTTGTTCAGCCCCAGTGTCCTGATGTTGCAGTCTGCCAACTTTCGGGTGCAAGATTCTATTAAACAGAAAGATGAAGAGAACAGGCAGTGAAGAGGGCGAGCGGCTTGCAGAGGGCTCCCTTCAGACCCCCTCGGGAGAATGGCATGTTTCTTCATGCTCTGCCAGTCAGGAAAGTGAGACCAAATCAAAATTTTCAAACAGAATTGCAAAGTTTTCCTTTTTTCCGTGTAGTTTTAACAAGGGCAGTGAACCAAGGAGTTTAGTAAAGAGTAAATTCTAAAGCCCTGACATTAGTTCACTCTATGCAACGCAGAACCAATCCCTCAGGAATTCTCTCCCCACTGCTGTAGCATTCTCTTCACACAGGAGCTGCCAACTCCATTCATTTGGGCCATACGAAGAGCCTTGTCTTCTCCAGAGAGGGGAGGGCAGTCTGGGACTTGCTGCCCCTTCAGAGGCACTTGGCCCTGTGGGAGCATCACTGGCCATGTCCTGCTCCAGGAGCAACGGGACTTCAGCCCCACTTTGGTGAACCAGCTTGTTTGTAATTACATCATTTGTTGTTACTGTATGCTCAGTAACAACAACTGGTTTTCAGGATACAAGGTTCTGGTCTGGAAAGCTCAATTTATATTTGATGCTGTGACTAAAAATTCAGTTTCTTAAGACGTTTAAAATTTAAACTGATGCAAAATGCAGGCAAATTTAGGTGCTTGACTTCTCAACATGAGAAAGCAGAGCTTTATGGGTAGCTGTTTGTGGGAAACACCAAAATGCACACACACACTGGGCCACTATTTATTTTTGCTACGGAGCAGCAAAAACAAATAGGACAAACACATCTTAAACATGAACACTTTTCCAAAGAGGTGGGGACTGAAGAGAAATCCAGGAATGTTTTTCAATACATTCTGACATCAGGGCATGAAGGCACACACAGCATTCCTACAGAACAATGGGAGCACTGGTAACAAGGGCCATTGGCCTGACCTGGGTTGTTAGAGGACAGATTAGTGCTAATCTCACCACAGAAACCTTGGTCAGTTTTCCGAAGGCTCAGGAAAGCCTGGGCCTATCTTACATGGAAGATGAAAGGCAAGTTCAGCAACACTTTGAGCTCCTTCAGTCAAAAGAATGCATGGAGCCAGCTAAAAGCTTTTTAAAACTGCATATGAAGCGTATTTACATTTGGTTGACATTGTTCAGTGGTAGTGAAAAAATACGGTAGTGCTTTGGAGATCAAGGTGTTTTCACCAGTTTCTCCAATTATTCTCCCTTGATGCTAGACATTAAACTTTTTTGGTCTGAATCTAAGTGATTTCAATCTAAATGGTTGGAAAGATTACAAAAAAAAAATCTCTCCCTTTTCAACTTACTTAGTGACATCTGCATAATGCTCCATATACCTTGAAAAGGAATATGATAAATGTCTCTATGATGAATCAGTGCCAAGGAACCTGGACTTTAAAATGAGATCCATGACCCTATTCCCTGTCCTCAGCAGCTGCACAGAATGACAGTGTATAACCACTTCAGGAGAGGTGGTAAAACCATTTTAAATTTAAAAAATATAGTAGAGACCTTTGAAAATATTTTAAGATACTGAAAAAAAAATTAGACCACCTACGTTTTAAGCATGAGAAAGCATAAAAATTCCAATCCTCCTTTAGTTTGAGATGAATTCAGAAAATCCTGGACTTTGCTGGCATAACAGCATCAATATTTACAAGAAAATACTCGGGCAGAAGCCTTTGTGTAAAATCGTGTTCCCTTGTGGGAATCGCACAAATCCTTCACCATCGGAATTTGTCCTGCACTTTGTGCTCTCTCATGAACATGGATGAGCTGCAGCAGCTCCAGGGCTTGGTCTCAGCATCTTGTGGGAAGCTGAACAACTAAGGCAATATGCAGTTTATTTTTAATGGTCTTGGAAACAGCATTGTTGCTAATTTGAGAGTAAACAGCCAGTGTAATTAAGGGATCTTTGCCATTCATCTGTTCTGTAAGATTTTTCTGCATTCAACTGCTGCCAAAGTGTTACATGTCACTTGGAAAGGGATCCTTCCTGCCATCGCCTCCAACAAAATAAGGAGAAACTGACCAACATTTCTCATCCCGTTGGTATTCCATGTGGGAGAGGGAGGAAGCAAAGGACTTGTGGCAAGTCTAGAAATGGGAAGAGAGCAACAGGGAGTTCCCTAGCCCACACGGGCCCAGCTGCCTCAGTTGTCATGACAGAGAGTGGCCAGTTGGTCAAAGGTCTGACATCATCCAGTGGCAAAGTTTCTAGGGATAGGTTTGGGAAGCAGAAGCAGAAATTACTGAAAAGATTTTAAAAATACAACAAAGTATGGCTACATTTGCTCTTCTCTATTGCTCACAGTCTGTTTCCAGCCTCACTGGTACTACAGGCACCATTCCTGCAGCACGGGCACGGAGCTGTGTAGGACATGGCGGTGAGGGAGAAGGAACGGAAAGGACTAAGTGACAGTTTTCTAGAACTATTTTGCTCTAAGGACATGAGGTACAACGTTCAATCCAGAAGCAAAAGTGCTGTATCACAGCACCATAATTTCAACTGTATCCCAGTTAGGACATTCTTAAAGCCAGAAACATATACATCATCAATCAATAAAAACTGAGGGCCAGGACGACACACTGGCGAGCTTTGCAGGAGAGGGCTTTTACATAAAGAGAAACATTTTAATTAGTTTTTCAAGAAACTGAACCAATCCCACTTGACTGACTTAATTTGCAAACAAGACTGTGCAGCGCCAGGTGCTCAAGAATTAAATAACAAGTCTGAAAGAAAGGAGAACTAAGATCTAATTGTATGTCAAAGTTAACACTGTAGGAATATTGCCTGCAAAGGGAAACTATACGTATTTGCATGAAAATTAAGTGATTGCTGCCTTTTTAAGGCACAATTAATGTAACTCATGGTGGCAATAGCCACTCTAGTCAGTATGTGATGTACAATTAAAAATCTACTTCCCAATTAACCCTGTGCTGCACAGTCAGGACATTTAGCTAGAACAGTCTTAAAACCAAGTTAAAACGCTCTGTGTACCTCCTTCCTTCTTCTCTGCTTCATCTCGGATGAGAGGGGATGTGAGTATCACCTTCAAAGTGAGCTTGGGCTCCTTTGTGTTATGGATAACAATAGCTGCCTCATTTACATGCTCCTCCACCAGATACTTCTCTTCTGTAAGTTTCTGAAAGTCACCAAGAAAGATTTCAAGACTCTCCCAATCGACTGAAAAAGTGAAGAATCTGTTTATGTGCCTCAGCTAATGAGAAGGCTACAGGGCATTGCAGTAACAAAAGTGGCCTTGCCTCCCTCATTAAAAACAATTTAAAACATTTCTTTTGTAGCCAGTGCTTCAACTGCCTTACAGTTTGCTCCATTAGTGTGCACTGTATCAGAGTTCTCTGCAGTGATCTCTCTGCAGGTCTTTCAGCAGCCTTTTGGGACCTCTCTTGCCCTCCAGAAGCACATGGGCAGCCACAGATGGCTCAGAGCCTCCAGTCACTCCTTCTGTGTGGAATCTGGCTCAGCAAACTGGTGGTTAGGACAGCTATTCTGACCTCTTCCCTGCTGCAATCTGCTCTGCAGCTCCTTTAGTGTTGGCATGAAAATGGCTGAGCATGTGCTCACCATGAGCCTTCAAAGCAGCAAAGCAGAAGCTCCTGAGACTCCTTTTGTCCACTAATGGGCCTATCCCCTCCTTCACCTCCAGCATCTGATCCCTCTGCAGAGCTTCTCCACATCTTCCATGCCCACAACAGTTGGAGCATTTCACAAGTCAGAGTCCTCTTCCCTCATCTCTTCTGTAATCCCTCACAGTCCTTCCCCACAGGCTCTTACCTGCCTGTCTCTTGAATTTATTCACTCTTCACATATTTTAATTATGTCTATTCTCTCATTTTATCTCACTTTTTTTGAAGCACATATTAACTTTTCTTCTCACTTTCAACCCTTCTCATTTCATGCCTCACTACAAGGTTTATTCTTTAATACTCAGTACATCCCTATCATTTTCAAACAAGTAAAATTTACTCTTTACTACTCAAAAGATCCTTTTCATTTTTAGCTATGGATAGGGCCACATCTCTAGGAACAATATTAGCTCATTAAAACAAGCCCTTTGTGTGAGAAAATGAATGGTGAGAACTAACAGCTGTCAAGAATGGTAAAACACGGGGAGAAAAGCAGATGAGAAGAAAAGCAGATTGAGTTTGGTTGTGGTTTGGAGAGGGGAACTTGCAGTGGGACATTTGAGGGCAGTTCCTTGGCACCAGTATTGGCGAGTCTGGAAGCTGGACTGATTCCTCAGCCTCAGAACTCTGTCACAGAGCTGTTATCCCTAAACAAGCTGCAACTGCTGCCTGCTGGATGCCACCATCAGAATTAAGTAGCCATAAATAAAAATAATGTGAACTCATGATTAACATGAGCCCAAATGAATGACCACCTAAAGTGACATGTCCTCACCTTGGCAGCACAGAGGGGTTTATGTGGGAACAGCCCAAGCAAAGCAGCTGCAATGGGGAACTGCAGGTTCAGGCAGGGGACAACAACAGGGACTGAGTGACACACTTGAGCAGGGAAGATTTCTGCAGTTTGGCTCATGTTGGGTGGAGCAGAGCGCCCAAACCCACCCTGGATTAGTTACACACACACAGGTCAGCTGCCCTCCCAAGGAACTGACAGCACAAACAGGAGAAGGGCAACAACAGCAGTAAAGAGGTTACATTTTGTGAGTAAGGACTTCACGGCACCACATTAAACATGTCGCATGCCCCAGATGCCGTCCTAGATTCAGAGTATATTCCTTTATATCGCTTGACTTTCTTGTTGGAACAATTTCCAGCCTTTCCCCAAATAGCCCTTGCAGTGCTGTCACCCATTGTGGGAGGACTGCTCCAAATGAACTCACCTGAATTTGAGCTGGGAGATTGTCTTTAACAATACATAACAAGGTCTTTGTGGGCTTTTCTTTGCACATGAGAACCAGCTCCAGATCCATATCATCTTTGATCAGCAAGCCCTTTGCAACCAAGCCAATTCTCATAACACCACATAACGTCCGACCACCTTGATCCCTGGAAATGAAACAATTTAGGGTAATTAAAATTTTACTCTTCAGGTACAGTTTAGGGGACCCTTTAAGAGCCACAGTAAAGAACTTTCAAAGCAACATAGGGACACTTACTTTTTGAGTGCTGAGAAAAAGACTGTGACAAAAGCCAGTTTTGTAGACAAGGATTGTTTAAAATCATGGAGTAAAGTGCAAGAAATGCATCTTTGACAGGCCAGCACCAGCTCTTGTCTCATCCAGTTACCTCCAAAGCATTTACTGCACTCTTGGATTATTTTTTAATAAAAAATCAGCATCTATGTGGGGCTGACTTTCCATCTGGGGTTAAACTATGGCAATAATGGAAAGTAATGGAGGCTTAAGAAACTTTGTTTGCTGGATTATAAAAACTTCTTTAGTGTATCAGACTGCAGGAGCCCCCAAGCACATGGCTGTTGATTTGCACTGGTGTGTTCCAGGGAATTATATTTGCTTCAAACTGCTGAAAAGTTTGTCTGCTAAATGCAACTTCACAACATCACAGTAAAATAAGCAAAGAAATGGAGAGCAACTGCTGCCCACACTGGGCTTATTGCCATTCCCTGCACACCCCCCACGTGCTCCCACCTCAAAAAGTCCAAATATATCCCCCTCCTCCTATGAACATTCATCTGCAGCTGACCCAGGTAACACTACGACTCCTATTTGGAGGAAAGGAGCCATTGAGAGCAGCACAGGGACACTTTGTGAGCTGAGACTTCACTCACTTGGCAGTGCCTTCTGCAGCTACCTCCTTGGCTTCTGCATCACCCTCACACTTGGCAGACTTGTTCTTTTCATCCATCCAGTCAGAGACATGCTTAAGGGCACATTCTACTGTTGATACCATGTTCTGGACAGCTTCAAGCTCCTCTGGAGATGGATAAATGGTTGAATGTTTCACCATTACGTGGCGGTCATCATTAGCAAAAGATCGGATTGATCTCTGTTGAGGAGTGGGAAACAGGAAGAAAAGAGAACAAAGTTATTGGAGTACTGATAGGACATTGCCTGAATGGGAATCCTGCCTGGCAGGGAGGGTGCAGATTGGGCACAGCATGTGGAAAGGAGGGTGGGCAAGGAGGCATGATTCCTATTTTGTAAAAGGCAATGATACTCTCCAAATACAATTTTGCATATTCTGGAAGTGCTGAGTGCAGCCACCTCTCCTCTGTTTATGCCAGGGACAAGAGCAGCACACCTTGGAAGAAGCAGTCAAAAAGCCAGACCCTCACAGGTTTGCTGCAGATGAAGTCACAGGCAGTACAGAACTGTGACAGGCTCAGCCACTGCACAGGTATTTACAAAGACATGAATGAAGATGAGAATAAAGATAAATGGTAAGAGACTGAAATTTCTTTTTAAAAAACATTCAAATGAATAGGAAAATATTAGAGTGCTAATTTAAAAAGTCTGCAGTGAAACTCAGAGTCCTGAGTGATACTGCTGAGGGAGGTAAACTTCACTGGTTGGGTAACCTGTGCTAGAAAGTTTTGGGTTTGCTGCAGACTGTTCAGGTGAGACTTTTTTGATCTAAACAGTGCGCCAGACCAGCTGTGATCACAGCACAGACCTGTGGAAAGGGCAGCAGTAAGTCTTGGTCTCTACAGACACATCAGTCATTGCTGAAAGCCTCCTGAAAGCCTCCCAGAGCAGACTCACCAACCAATCCTCTCTGTTCCTCCTACATATTAAGCACCTTAATTAGGTGTCATTTTCACCCCTACTTCGTGGGTTTGTAGCTGTACCCTCTCCTAAGGACACAAAGGGACTTTCAACAACCTCAGAGGCCTTGGGGCTGGATCCTTATTCAGGAACTGTCAGTGATTTCCTGTGTTATTGCACTCCCTGTGTCTCTTCCATTGAAGGTCATGACATCATTCCCTTCCTAATTTTTGTGTTCCTACCCAGATGGATAATTTGGCCAGTAAAAATTCATCTGTCAGGGGCTGGTTTTATCCCCTGCAGTTTGATAGGCTGCAAAATGCTTCCAGGAGGTCCCTCTTGTGGTTATCCACAACATGGATACAGCTGGGCTGCAGGGAAACGGCCGAGCTGCGTTTAACAACTCACCCACCATCTTCTACCTTACAAAATGTCAATTACAACAGTGGAACAGAAATAAATTGGTAATTCCTACTTAGGAGACACATTTTATTTTCTAATGAAGAGGGGCTGACAAGATCAACTCCTCATTACAATTCAGGCCAAAAAGAATGACAGAGTGGGACACTATTTAAAACATATTAACAACTCTGCTTTGCAAAGTGTTCTTTCTCCTTTTCACTCTGTAAATGGTAAGTCTTGGTTTAGGTCCTTTTTTTAAATATAAATATAAACACAGCCTACGTGCAGCAACCAGCCACACAAAAATTAGCAACTGTAATTAAAATTTATTGCATTTATTCTCATCTCCTTTCTCTCAGTAATAACCTTAGAGGTCTTGAAAATATATTAATAAGTTTAAACTGCTCTCCACTCATATTGTTCAGGAACTGAGTAGGTTATTTGCCTTTTTGTGAACACATTTCAGAATCTCACCATCACAATACTTCATACTTGCACATCTTTACAAATCCCACATCTCAGGCATTTCCATTTGCAGCCAAAGCCAGGCAAATGAGAAGCGACTCCTCACTTAAACCATACACACCAGGTATATTTGGCTACACAAATTTCATCTACACTGTCTTGAAGTGTGCACAGAGGCACCTTCAATCACACACACATGCATGTGAATAATCAAAACCTGGTTTTGTGAGGTAGAGGTGGAAGGGGAATGTGAGCATTTGGTAATGCAAGTTCAAGGTCACTGATGCTGTTTGCTACAGCCTGCTAATACCAGTTTTATTAGAAAACCTTATGAACATCCCCTTCATTCATATTTAATAATTCATGTACTGCAGGCTCACAAGAACACTCTCTGGCTTTAAGAGGCTGACAATACATCAAACCTCACTTGCTTTGCTCAAAGCACACAGTACCATCCCTCAAGTTAGTGCAAGGTCAGAAAATCCCCTCTCTCGGGTTTGATCAGGCCCCATGCAAGCCTGGCAGCAGAAAACACTTCTAATGCACCCCTGTGAAAGACAACAAATACCTACCATGGTTTGTTAGTGTTTCAGCTCTCTTTCCCTCCCTTTCTCCTTTTCCCTCCTCCTTGGTGTCTTTGCTAAGCACTGTTTTGCCTGACAGAACCTCTTCATAAGCCTCTCAGTCCTTTGACAGCTCAAGACTTCATACAGCCAAGGTGCTCTGGGAGTCACTTTCTCTAATTCACCTGCAAAAAGAGAGAAACAACTTGAAATTGGCAGTGATGACGTGTTGATTCCAGAAGTGCTGGATGCAGCACATGAGGCAAACCACTGATCAGAGCACCCCAGCTTCCAGATGGGACGGTCACTGATCCATTTATATCTGAGCAAACAGATGTCACTGTGGAAAGCAACTTTTTGCGACGTGCCCACACACATGTAACGACTTTCCCACGCCAGTTAGAGCTGATCCCAGGGAGGTTTGTCAGCCACCTGGCAATTCCAGCTCCTGGGATGAGGAAGACAGGAAATCCAACATGGCAAACATGTTCTATGTGAAACCAGCTCACAAAGTCTCTATTTTTGTGTCATATGCACATTAGGAATCAAACACACTACATTTAATTACTGAAAAGTAATTCCCTGTGGAAATCCTCAGTGCAGCCCTCGATCCCGTGTCAGATACTGCCCAAGAACCAAGGCTTCAGGTTGCAATAACTGCAAGGTGTTATTTAAAGACAGACAAGCACATTCTAAAAAACTGCAGACGTCAGACTTGCAAGGAGCTGAAATCACCCACACCGCCTGTGCTGCCCATGCACCGCCTTTCCCAGCGCACAGCATGGAAAAGATCCTGCAGGAGCAGCCTTCTTGTACTAAACTGGGAAACAACACCAGCACTGGCAGCATAAAACTGCAAAGAAATGCTCTGTGAGAGAGAAGAGCAGAATAACAGAGCAGGTAATGTGAGAGAGGGAAGCATAAGCTCACTGCACAGCAAGACGCTCCAGTTCTTGCAGAAAATTCCTGTTTTCCTTTCACTAGACATATTGTTGCATCAGCTCTCCAGCAACGTTTTGAAGCAATTGGAAACCCAGTCAGTAAATTTCTGCAGATTGACACACACACAAAATGTTTTCCTTTTCTCCTGTATGCTGACCCCCCTTCTTCAGCAATGCTTTGTGTGTCAGAGAAGCCTGACATTGTTAGAGATTAAAAACATGTTTGGCAACAGCACAGGGATAGGTGAGATGACTTGAAAGCTGAGGAAATACTTAAACCTGTGATGTGACAGGGAATAATTAAAATGTTGCATCCCACAGAGATTTGAATGTGACAGGGGAAAAGGTAACAGCAGATCTTGCTTCCGTATTTCCCTGGTTAGGAACGAATTATGCAGGTTTACAGGACCAGTAGCTTTGGCAGCAAGGGCTTGATAGTTGTTTGTATGTCACACCACTGAGCTGAGGATGTAGAATTGGGTAAAACAAAAAGCCAGACAAGAACACTGTGCAGGGACCTGTCTGTTTCAGCAGCTGAAAATTACCAAGGAAGAAACCCCAAGAGAGTTAAGTGCAGTCATACTAAAAATACTTGGGAAAAGCAAGCTAATGAAAACCCTGACTGACCCCATTTCCCATCACAGAGGCTCTGTGCCCACCAAGGTGTATTAACACTCCACCAAACTGCTTCCCAGAAGCAATCAACAAAGGGGATGTTCTTTCTCTTAAGAGATCCTGGAAGTCAGACAGGGGCAGCTGGGAGGAAAACTAAGCCAAGATCACTGCTTTGGCAGTATTTATTTTGTGAACTAGTCATAAGCTCCTCCACATTCAACAGCCTTTCGCCATCTCCAGAGCCAGCCAGACTCTTTACAAGGTCGTTTTACTTTTTAATAATATTAATAATAACTTGAGTCAGCAGATAGCAAACTAGAGAGACTTTTATGAGACATATTTCTAGATAATCTATTTTAAATTATTTCTCTCTCCAAACTGAATTCCAGCTATCTTCACCTGCTCTTCTTCCCTGTCACTCCCACATTTCACATTTTCCGTTTGTTATCTTCTGTGGTAGCTGTAACTTGGCAATTCCAGGCACAGAGAAGGGCACTGGAATGTGTTGCTGACTTCAGCATATGCCCAGTACAATGTCTCCAGACTCCAGCAACACTCCAGCCCAGCCTCCCTCCCAAGACTCCTGCAAGCTGTTGCTTATCAGCTCACCCAGGCTGTGGCAAGCAGATGGACAGAGATATGTATATCTGGCTGAGCAAGTTCTGGTGCTCAGGAGGCGCTGAGCAGGCTGCTGTCCAGAGGGCGAGTCTGTGAGAGCCTCTCCCTCCTGGGGCAACTCCCCTGCGCCGGGCGCTTCTCAGGTCCTTGGGAAATCCAAAACAGGCTGGAAATGAAAGTGTCACAGCCGCAATGGGGGCTCATCTCTGCTGGGCTGATGAAGTGAATACACCAACAGCTCTCCATACTCTGTCTTAGCAGTGTATGGAGCAGTGAGTGACCTGTTTTTTTGTTTCCAAGGCAGGTTCAGTTTTCAGTGACAAGTAAAGGTTGTTGGCTGAAGGTATTTATGAGCTCTTTACCTGCCTTTTTTTCAGCAGTGCACGCCTGAAGTCAGGGCACAGACAGATGAATTACAAAGGGATCTTTATTATAAAATTCAGAAAGCTGGAAAAAAATCCTGAAAATTGAGTCAAAGCTGATACATGATGTCTTCCAAGTCATTAACATCCTACGAATATTTCAGAAACATGCATAGGAGTGAAACCCTAATTTAGTTCAGACTTTGAGAGAACATTTTCAACAAAAGCACTAAACAGGAGGGAGTTTACTATAAAAGTATAGACACAATATACAGAATAAAGTACATTTGACAGCACACAGAATTAAATTAAGGAAAACCAAAATCAAATCTGCTCCAACCATATGGACTAAGGCAGCATAACATAGCTCAGCACCAAATACATCAGAAAGCATTATGTGAAGTGAGCAGCAATTCCATAAATCCAACAGCCTCATTCCACTACCAGACTATAGCTGGATATTTCCTCCTGCATCCTCAGGGAAGTAACAGTTGATACTCAGACTAAAAAGCACAATATTTAAATGTGCGGCTGTCTTACCTAGGGGCAGCCACCCACACTTGCAAGGAAACTTGTACAGGAAGCTCCTTGCACCACTGAGACCTTGGTGACCTTGAAAAAGTCACTTCTGCTCTGCATCATGCGCCCCTAAAGTGTAAAACAAGAGTAAATAATCTCTGTCTCCAAACCAGGTCACAGTGGAGCCGCACAAAGTCTGCAGCGTGGTTTAAAATCACTGGGGATTTGACACATTAGAAATGTTATTAAAACACCATGACAGTGTAGCAACGTTTCCATTAAACATCCCATCCTTCACAGAGGAAGTTTATGCTTTGGCTCAAGACAAGCAAAAAGAATTTCAGATGAGGCTTTTGTAGTAGGAGATATTCCTGCATCTGCAGCTGCATTCCCAGGGGAGTGACAGTTAAACAGCCAGCGGTGATGAATATGCTCAGCTACCTCAGAGTGCCTGTGAACAGGGAGGTGAAAAGGCAGGAGAAACAGGTACTTGCATTCCAAGACTGGACTGAAATACCAGAATGAGGGTGCTCAGAGCCTCTAGAAAGGAGACATGGACTGTGTCTGGCACCCGAGTATCCCCCTGCAGCAGCACCTTGCACAGAAGCGTTACTGGTGCAATGGAGAACAGGAAATTTGGGGCACTGGACACCAGAGCTCCAAACCCTTCACTTCAGTGAGCTGCTCTCCAGGCTCCTGGCCAGGCCAAGAGCACCATGAAAATTGGTTTTAAATGCTCCATCAAGAAGGCATACACTAATAATATTCAGCTGAACATTAAAAACACCCTCCACCTTCCAAATCTACCCTGACACCAGGATCTGCCCAGGAGAACTGCAATTTGCAGTGTGCAGCCCCCCAAGAGCAGACAGAGTTTATACTGACAGGGCAGCAAGAACAACAGAAGTTGCTAATAACAAAGCAGTGAGTATCTAGCACAGCCCGAGGTGTATCACACACAGTAACAGAAAATATCTGGAATTTACATTGGTTTTTGTTACCTTCAAAAGTCAGAATGAGAGGCTTGCAACTTCAAATTGGAAGTTTATTTTAGCCTCTGCTTTGCATTCAGAAGACAGGTAATTTTTCATCACACCACACAAAGTGCTGCTGAAAATATGTTGTGTTTTTCTGCAGTATAATTTTATTGCTGGCCTTCTGCCAAGAGTCTTTCTGGCAGCATCTCCCACAGTTGGAAACTGTGTATCTGGGTCAGAAAAGACAAGCCGCTTTTCAGAACAGCTCAATACATTTGGCAGAGATGCTGATATTGTAATTGAACTCTTTCAGCAACTCTCTTTATGATGTACCCAGACACCAAACAAAACAAGATCTGCAGTGTTGATTAATGTCAAAATAACTGACAGAGAAATATCAAAATAGTTTTCCCTCATGTGAAAAGTATCCACAAACTGGGGGGAACAGATAAGAAATACAATTCATGAGGATTCAGAGAGGAGCACAGGGCAGAGAAATCTGCAAAATATGACTGACCTGTGCCTTGTGCAGATATTCACTATTTAAAATCCCAGCTCCTCATATGGAACTTCCTCCTTCCCTACCACACAAAGAGAAATCCTGGCCACTCAGAGCATTGTGGAGCAGTGTCCTGTAACACTGGGACACATATTTAACAAGGTTCGGGCTGCTTCCAGCAGTATGCTCAGCATCCAGTTTCACCTGGAGACTGTGTATTCATAGGAGTTTTATTATTTTCCATGTAATGCATTTCCTGGCAAAGTTGCATGTGGGATAACCTTTAGAAGGCTGGAATTTTCCATCCAAATGAATAATTACAAAGCAACACTATAGTTAGAAGCTGCAAAGGTACTTCCTCTGGCAAACTCTTACACTTCATACAACAAATACTGGAGTCTGGGATTACTCTTGCCTGGTCACTTCTCATAATATTTCAATCAAAGGCTCCTGTGCTTGGAGACCTCTTGGGAGCAGCCCCTGCCAGGCAGCCCCCACACCCAGCTTTAAGTGCCAAAGACAGGGTAGGCACAAACTTGACAACCAGATCTGGAACCACAGCACATGTAACCATCAGAACAGAGAAATCAAAGTCACCTTCCAGGGTCCAGAGCTCTGACAGTGCTCCCAGTGCAAGGAGCACAGCTGCCCATTTGTCAGCGTGCAGGAAGCTGCTGGAGAGCTCCTGGGGAGAATCCATCTGTGCCAAGGCAGGACCCTCTGGTCAGAGATGCAACTGAAAATCAGTGAACACATGGATTCCCCTCCACTGTGGAGTAAGGAATGAAAAAAGAGCCAAAAGAAATCACACTGGTACAGTAATTAAAGAAGTTGAAGAATCAAAGGCAAGCAATTGCTTAATCTGAATTAATACATTAAGGTAAAGGAAACAGGGATGTGCCAAGTGTAGCTCGTATTTTTAGCTCTTAGAAAGAAGGTGAAAAGATGGTCTAAGGGGAAATCATTACCAGCCTAACAGGAAGGTTAAAAAAGGAACAACAGAGGCACTGTGTGAGCACACAGGCAATCATTTGAGGAAAAAAATACTCTATTTTAGATAGAATCACACCATCCAGTCTCAGAAAGAAATAGATATTAGTAGAAATAACTGCAATTATTAAATTGTAATGTATAAGAAAGACAACAGTTTTGGAAAGAATATAGATCCTCCTGAGACTGAACCTACTACAGACTCCTGAGGAAGGTATTCACCACACTCACCACACTCACCAGGTGGTCCAGAGCAGCACACCAGCTGCAGACCTTGAGGTATTTTCTACATAGATTTTTCACATCTCCCTCTAGATTTTTATCTGGCTTCACATTCCCTGAAACCTGCACAACCCCCAGCAGAGCCAGGGCTACAGAGGGCCTCTAAGGAAATAATTTTGAAATTGCCTTCATCTCCTGGTATGGGTATCAAGATGCAAGACTGACTAGAGACAGATCAAGTCCAAAAAGTTTTAAAAACTGTCTGCTGACACTTATAAATAATAAATTGACACATGAACAGTTTATGTTTTCCCTGTTCAAACAGTAAGAAATATGCAAAACTGAACACTACAGAAGACAAAATATTTTATAGGGTGCATTTCTTGACAGGTGTCTTAAATAAAAAGTTACATATTAGATAGTACATAAATAATGAATAGCAAAGAGTTCATTTGAGACAAGGCAGCAACCACCACTGGATTCTCAATGTCTGTGAAACACTGAACTGATTTGTGAGACACCCTAATGTTACATTCCTGCTTCCCTGGCTAAACTGGTCAAAGGAAGCGTGAAGGTACTTTGCAGCCATAATGTGACATCCACACTCAAAATCATCTGAAATTCTTAACTCAGACTGCATTCATTTACAGTTGAAAAATTAACTAAATTAATAACAGGATTACATTACACTGAAATGACACTCACCATCTGCAATGTCATTCTCCCAGAGACAGAGCTGGTTTAAGCAAAATTCTGGATCTATGCCTGAAATGACATCACATTCTCCAAAAGAGAATCACAGTTCTACCTCCTCCACCCAGTTTGTGCCATGCTGGGTCCTCACCATGCCAGCCCTGTCCTGCACCACACCCCAGCATTAAAACCTTGCACATCTCCAAACTCCCAGAGACTCCCCAAATCCCTGGATTTGTGAGCACTGCCTTTACCTGCACGGCTTTTGCTGGTCCAGAAACCACCACAGGAAGCAGCCACGATGTTGAGGAGATTCAGAACAGGGACATTCCTTCCCCAGCACCCTTCAGCTTCACCAAAATAGCTGCAGTGCCCCAGTTTCTTTGCTGCTGTGATTCATATCCCATAGAATACGGGATTCTGCAGGTGGACTTGAGCTGCAGCCCAGCGACTCAGCCAGGATGAGGGAACTGCCACCAAGGAGGCAAAGGCACACACATGGAAATGGCTGGAAAGCACGGCATTCCCTCTGTTGAAATACAATTTCAACAAAAAAAAGAAGGAGGCTGGAGCCCAAACTGTCCTACAGTAACACTGGATCTGCTTGTATTGGTGGTTTGCACTTTTCATCAGTTCCATGAGGCAACAGCCAAACACTTTGGCTCTACTCTCTGCCCCCTGCTCTGCAGCTCAGGCTAATGCATATCCTGAATTAGTAAGAGGAAAGAGAAAAGCAACATGGATTCTAAAGCTCTGGTTATAAACAAAGCAAATTTAGTAATTCTTACAAATAACACAGTGCAAATAAGTCTTTGAGAGTTGTGTTTTCCCAGTGTTTACATTAAGTGTCAAAGCATTAAGAAGTTTTTAAGAATAAATGTTCTCCTTCTGACTAAAATTTCAGCAACCCTCAACAGTGAAGTTTCAGGAAGCTTCTCCCCAGAATTTCTTCCCTGATGTCAATTATACATACCCTGTGTTTTTGGTGTTGCAAACCCCCCTGGTTACTGTGCCTGGCTGCCTTTCAGCCAGTTTAAACATTCATGACTTTCCCCTGAAATGCATTTTCTAGTATGTCAGTCTGGCTGCCTCAGTAACTTTTTTTTTTTTTTTTTTTAATTAAAGAGAGAAGATTTAAAAGGATTTGGAATGGAAGATCACTATACTCTGTGAATATTGTGTAAAAAGCTCTTCTGCTCCCAGCCAGTGCACATCCTCCATCTGACTTTTCCCATGTTTTAGTTCCACTCTGACTCCTGAACAAGTTCAGGTTAATTTTTTACTTCCTGACTAATTGGCTATTTTGTTGAAGAACACATTGTCAAAGTTTCTGGGTTACTAAAAGCTTCAAGTTTTAAGTGTTTTCTCTTGCAATATCTTGCCCATCCAACCACATTAAGTTTAATTCAGTGTCACAACATGCAATACCACAGAAAGGTCTTAAACAGAATTTGTAACTAAAATCTCAGGCTGTTTAGGGAACAAAATTGGCTCTTTTGAAACCATTCAGAACCCAGCAACCCTTCACTGGGGAAGGGTACCCTGGCTGCCACCCATTTTCAGCCTCAGAACACAATTATTTACTTCAAATGCATTATAACTCTACCAAAAGATTTGAATTAGGTTACTTAGGCATGAAAGCTAGCAACAATATCCATCAAAGTAAAACATCACACCAGCCTGAGACAGCTGAGAAAGAACTGTCACTTGTGACCCAAGTCCACCATTTGCCTTGGACAAGATCTTGTAGTAGAAAGTCCCAGCTTGGCTAAGAGGAAGAAAAAGAGCCACAAATATATTTAGAGATGTACAGAATTAGTAAATATAAACAAAAGCCCTATTTCCCTGGAAAATCATGAGTCTAAAAATATTTTAGATGGGCTCAATCCAGCATCCTCTTGCCTCAGCAGATCTCCACTGCACGCATCTGCTGTCAGATCTGCCAACTTCACTTGCAAAACTCATCTATTATTCCTCTCTCCAGTTCTCACGGCACAGTACAGCCACGGAAATGTAAAAAGGGATGACTCTAGCAGAGACCATCACTGGTGGAAATGCTCAGTTTGTAGACCACAAGCTAGGTTACAAAATTAATTTCTCAGCCTAAGTTGTATCTATTAGTCTTAGCCTTAGGAACATCCTGAGATGAGTAATGAATTCCACAGCCTTTTTTTGTTTATTTTTAATAGGTTGGTGATATTTAAAAAAAAAAAAAAAAGCTAAATTAGGTGTCTGTAATACTGTATTCTCCAGAATCTTTGGAGAACAGAACTGTGCTAAGTAATTGATCTTCAACTTGAGAAGCTACAGTTACCCTTTTTTTATCTTTTGAATTTCAAATAAAATCTGGAGGGAGAAAAAGGAGCTCTCAGGATAAATGCACCAGTCCCAGGTGGATGGCATTTTTAAACCACAGAAACAACTTTGCTGATTTGGCCTCTTTCTTTAAATTTCCTACAGGACTATGAATTAGTTTAATTTCTCTTTATAGATAATGATGTCATCTCCATTGTGCCACTCACAAGAGCACCAAAGACACTTCCAGCTCTTCATTTACTAAAGAAACTTCCCCAGCCTTTGCATTCTCCACCAGATGTCACACCCCATCCTCCCACCAGCATCAAGCAGCAAATCTTGGAACAGCAAAACAGGATCTGCATCTTGGGAGGCACCAAACTTGCCAGAAGCCCCAGAAGCCCCTTGGGCAGGTCAGTACCCCCCAGCCAGGCTGGCACACACCCAGAGTGTGGCACAGCTGCTGCAGCTCCTGGAGCAGGGGCAAACCCCACTTTCTCCAGGAGGAGCAAACAGCCTGGCAAATCAATACCAGCATTCCAAGTGCTCTCAGCCTTGCAGGGACATCAGCTCACCACAACACAACTCTCTTGCCCCAAAGCTCCCCGAGTACACTGGAGCCAAAAGTAACACTTGGAATTACTGTCCAGGGAAAGACTAGAGAAAAACAATCAATGTTAGTTTATTTTGGGCCATTAGCTGCAAGTTTGTGTCTGTCCACTTCAGTTCTCCAGATAACAGGAAACCTGCTGTACCTAAAAGCAGCACTGATGGGGTTTATTTCATTTCTCAAAAGGAGTTGCACTTGGGAAGCCACAACCTGCCAGGGTAGGAGAGCACATGGTTCCGGATGCAGAGGCAGGCTCAAAACCAGGATTAGAAACCAGCTGCCACACAGACTGAGGGTGTTCTCCTCAGGTGGGCAGTGAGATAGAAACCCTTTCATCCCTCAGGCTGGATTAGACTGCAAATGTTTTCATTGCCTGCTTAGCCACCTGTGGAAATCTGTGTCCATGTCAACACCATCATTATACTGAACTCTGCTCCTGTCAGCACAAAAAACCTGCCTGGTTTTCAGTCCAAAACTATACTTTTAGTGATATAAGAATGTCAGATTATAATGCCATCAATCTATTTTATTCCACAGTTAAACAAAATTCATCTCTAGAACCTGGCACTTCTGTGTTAGTGAAAAAAAAAATTCTAAAAACAGGACATAAATACTTTGTGCACTGAAAGAGTTTTTGGTTGTGCTGGTTCTCCACTTTGCACAGCTCCTCTGTTGTAGAAACAAAAGTCCTTATACTGGCCTTTCTCAGTGATATTTGCAAACTCCTACACTTGGTGTAACAGAGTGTTCAGAAACAGTCCATACTGGCCTGGGAAAGTTAGGTCATTATTTACTAACTGCAGAAATACATTGAAGAAAACAATAACATTCTTGCAATGGCTTGTTGCTTGTTTTGACAGAAACAAAAAGTAATTAAACCTAGCTAACACCTTTTCACTGAGCATTTTGCTCTAAAGCATTTCTGATTCACACACTGCAGAACCAGGAACAGAACAGCAGAACCACCAGTGCAACACTGTCAACACAAGGAAAGGCTGTCCCTGAAATTCAGTGGACAAATATTACCAGACAATTTTATGCTTTACCAACACAAAATCCAGAAGTTATATTTAGAAGCATGATTTCTGCAGACACTCAGATGTTTCTGTTCTAAATTTTCTAGAAATTGCAAATTACAACTTGGCAGACTTTAAAGTAACCCAGCACGTGTCTTGTGCAATCCAAATCATGGTCTGCCCTATTACTCTGCAAAACTGTTAGGAAGAAAAAAAAGTCATGCTTTTCACCACATGGTTTCAGACAAATGACAGAGACATTCCATTTATCTCTGTGCTAAGAACGAAACTTAAGTACTGTTTTTTCCTCTTGGAATATTGCCATGAAAGTTAAAAGCTAATAGAGGAACCAGAGTTCTCCCCACTGAAGGATAAGCACTGTTTGGTTGTGGCCATTTTCCCCATTCACCATGGGGAGAATATACTGCATTTCTAGACTGATCTCATTCCTAAATACTGCAAGGAGATATCAAAGCATGCAGGTGTCACCAAGGTGAGTTGTAGAACTGGCAAACCCTGCAAAGTTTCTGCAACCACTCAAGAGATAAATGTGCTTTTCAACACCACGAAGAGTAAATTGAATGAAACAACTCAGAGGTAACAAACCAAATAAATCTTGGAAATTACTTCTCTATCTCCCAGTAACCAGACTGTACTGCCCACCCTCCCCCTGCTAACCTGGGGGAGATGGCAATCTCCATGCAGGACTTTACAAGAGACTGACAAAACCATTACTCAGTCTTATCTATTTTGATTGCAGTTATCAAGTTTCAATGTACTTTTATTAGCAAAACACCCAAATTCAGACCTTAGAATTTCACGACTCTTCAAACATCACTTCTCTAATTGCTGATAGACATGATAGACATAATTGCTGTGCTGTTTGCATGGGGAAGAGGCCTCAGTGTTCAGAAATTCAAGTGATTTGCTCAGGGCCAGAGTAACTCAGTGCTGACACTTGGAACAGTGCAAGTTTTTCATTTACTACACACACCAAGCACAAAGCATCCTCTTCCCCTTTCTAGCTTTCCACCTGCTTAGGCTTCATTCCTTTAATTTGAACAGACATTGCATTCCTGGCTGCTTTTGTTATTCAATCTCTCTCATGGGTTCCTCACAGGTCAGCTTGGCAAACTGTCACAGGAAACGCTTGACAACAATTACCTGTCCATTCATGAGAGTCAAATTAGCAATTCAATATCTGAATATGGTATGATTAAACTGAGGAACCTAATTCACAATGTGTCCTACTTTCAGGTATCAAATTTTTTGAGCACTGTGCTCTTCTGAAAGTCAAACTGACGAGGACTCAGGAACCTTGTGTCTTCTCAAAAGAGGCCAATGGAGTCCATCTTTTGTCACGTAGCAGGACACACACAGTCTGTTCTCAGGAAGAGCAGGAGCCAAAAAACAAGAACACTTCAGAACACTATTGAGGGACCTGAGCCATTGTGCAGGGTAAGGGGAAGCTTTGCAGGCAGCTCCTCAGCACTGAGCACTCTGCACACCACATTCTAGCACATCCTTGGCTGTAAAGAAAACCCTCACAGGCTCTCTCTGCCACTTGGTTTTTCTAAAGCTCCAACTGACATAGGAGCAGTTGGATAAGGGTATTTCTTCTCTCTCTCTCAAAAAAAAGCAACAAA